AACTCCACTGGATTGAGCAAACAATGTTTGACCGACGAGCTATAAATATTCGCTTAAAGACAAAAAGAAGATATAAGATTAACAACTCACCACAAAATATCAACATTGTATTGTTTTGCTGCTGCATCGATTTCATACAGTTTTTTCGGTAGGTTTTCAACACAATTTCAAGTAATTCAGCTTTGAAAGCTTTAGTAGGAACAATTATATGATTACTATTGAATTATTGCGTGATCTATGAGCCAATTATGCCATGTGGCATTATCAATCACCAGAACAAATTTTGCATGTTTTCCTAAGCTCAAATATTACAATAGGAATGATAAGAAACACATATTACCAAGTTCTCCTAGAGAAAAAGTACTAGTACGATCCATTCACACCAAACATGGCGTGACATGATACGGTGATCTTCATTACATTCAAATATTCCTCGGATGGTTATTGTGGGTCCAGTCGGACCCACAAGACCACTTTTCGCTTCCTGCTATCGCAATATCTATTCTTTTCTGAGCTATCTTTTTTCTAATTACTAGTCTACTAACGATACATAGAAACCATATCATATTATGCGTACAGGTGTCGAAGAAAAAAAATTAAAGAGTGGGTCTACATGAACCCCCTACTGACCTTCGTGTTATACAAATGATTTTTACTCTAGTTTATTTTCGAGACTATTCGTTAGTTAGTCACTCCATATATTGATTCGAATATTGTTTTCATATGTGTCTCAAAGATCTTGTTACATTTTGAGCGAAACATTCTTGCCATTGCTTCTAGTCACAATGACATTTCTGGTTTTTCTTTCCTTGAAAACACATTAAGTCTGAAAAATCGACAAGCAATAAATTCTTGTCATTTTTACTATGAGTGACTGTATATATGTATATATATATATATATTGATATATGTAAGAGCATTTACTAGTTTGTTGTGTAATCAGACCTGTAGCTTCTTTAAATGATATTTTAAATTCGTAATGCTGTTATAATCCCTTCTAAAAAGTGCCTTGTAAGCTGCAAATGTTTTCACATCAAGATCTGTGCCAGCGTACCCGTATCTGAAGAGGTCATTATGAATGTCTTCAATCCATTGATGTCTAGCAAAAATTGCATAGAAAAATCAGATTCCTCTTACTCGTTTACATGTGAACCCAACTAGACCCACAAAAGTCTTTCGTGTGGTAAAACATAAACACCATTCGAAAGATATATCAATGAATGGTGCATGAAAACCTGAGATGTCCATCAATGCAGAAAGAGCGCACCGTTACCCTGTAAAGAAAGAAAAATTCTAGACCATTTTAAAGAAAGAAGAAATCATACCTTTACCACTGTTCTGTTTTACACGACCAATATCTGTATATCTATCAATCCACACGAAAGTTTTTTCTTCGTTCTAACTACATCATTTCTCATCTTGCTAAAAGATAACCGTTCCATTGTTTCTCAATTCATTGATCTTTGCAAAATAACGTTCGCAAACTGCCATATAGAAAGGAGACTCAAGAGGCACAACAACTTTCAATGTTCTTTCATATGCAAAGCCTAAACTTCTTCATTCAACACCACAACGATGACGTCGAACTAACCGAAAAATGAGGACCATCACTCAAAAGTCGAGTAAGGACTTCGTCCATGGTTGGGTATACCAGTTCAGCTAACATCAGTTGAGCGTGGTACCTATAAAAAGTGCACATATATTGCGAAGTCTATTCTCGTAAATTACTTCCCGACTATTTTATTTTTGATCTTCTGTCAAAATGATAGATGAACGATCAGCATGACCGTGTTTTTGTGATGGTTTAGCAACAGGTATGAATATTGTCGTGGTATTATCCGATGTAGCAGAAGTTGATGATGATGATGATGATGATTCTAATCTGGCACGTAAATTTCGAAACCGAAAAGTAGCTTGAATCACCACATCTTCCTTGTCTTGTTTTGCTTGATTCTGTTTTTCCTATCATTCAATCAACTCGTTTTCTTTTTCCAACAACTCCCTTTCCTGCTCTCTTATTTCCCTCTTCAATCTTTTAACTGATCTCATTGAAATATCAAGAATAGATGTTATACGATCATTTATATTATTCAGTGGAATTAAACAACCACTCTTTTCACGTTCGACAAATTTAATCACATTTAGACATTTAGTGTGCAACAAAGGTTTCGCCCCTATTAAAATGAGTTTTTTGTATCATCTTGACGCATGAGAATTGAATACAACATATACAGAGCAGTTCGAAACATTTACGCAGCAAATAGTGATTTTCTGGCTGTTTACTTCTTTGAACAAAGCAAAAAAATGCGAATACATCTATTTTTGGATGACTTGTAGGAAGATGAGATAGATCGTGTGAAACGAGTTCAACTGCATAACTTTTGACTATTCAAAAGAAAGTGTTTGAGCTATGTTCCGTTAGTGGACAATATCAAGAAGAGTGAGAGCGAAATTTCGGTCTCATTTCATACGACCCATCTCATCTCTCAACAAGTCGTTCAAAAATAGATGCATTCACAAATTTTTGCTCTGCTCAAAGAAGAAGCAAACAGCCAGAAAACCACTATGTACTGCGTAAATGTCTCGAACTCTTCTACAAGTATATGTGTTGCATTCCATTCTCATACGTCAAAATAATATTAAAAAATCCATTTCAATAGAAGCGAAACTTTTGTAGTGCACGAATTATTTGCTTTGTATTCTGTGAGAAATCATGACCTGTTGGCATCCTATCGATTAGTTAACTTCGTCTGAAATGTATAGTGCAGTACGTCTCTTTTGTTTTCGTAAAATTACGTAACAGAAACATCGATCTATACATCTAATTCAGCGAGGAGGAAAAAAATTGTTTCTTTCCTATGATTAACTCGTGTTTTTATCTGTACGTTAAAGACAACTTTTTCTAGATGACACCCTGTCATTGAAGATTAGACAGAAAAGAAAAGTTTTACGTGATCCTGATATTAAAATAGATGTGCCTCTAGTTTAATCAAACATACTAAAAATATATTCAACATGTAGGAGTATTTTGTGTCATCATGGTTTGCAACTCGAATACTCAATTGGAGATGTAGTGTATTTAGCACTGCATTTGCATAACAAAGAATGATTTCTTTACAATATGAACATTTTCATTCTATTCAAAATAGTCGAAAACCTAACTATTGATTAACCTTTTAGTGGCGAAGCCCATAAATTTACATTTTAAAAAGTTTGCTAGAGAAGAATATCCTTAGTTATACTAAAACAGAGTTTTTTCGTATACTTTGTGCTAAAATATATGTGTTACCAGTAGTGACTTTATTCACTATCGCTTTATACAGTATGTTGGGTTCTAAACCAATTAAAGTTACTGCTAGACACTTTGCGTCTCTTGTATCTCAACACAACAGACAGAAAAATCCTGAGAGAATTTATATTGTATGCGCTCATACAAATAGAAGGCAAGAAAGAGAATGGATTTATGTTATACGTGTAAAGATTATAATGTGGGTCTTTGCATGATTGGTTGCTTTGAGAAATTTCAGACTTTATTGCATTTTCAGTTTTTTTTCTTTCTCCGTGTTTTCTTTCCGTATGCTATATAATAGTTATGCTAGAGATTGTGTGCATTTGTTCTATTTTTGTTATTTGAAATTAACCAGGTATATCTTCAAGCCAGGACACAGTAGTATAACTAGGATCTTAAGTAATATTCAATGGATAATAAGTTTTGATAATGAAATTTCATTTTCTTTGCAAAAAAAAATACTCCGCTGTCAAAAAGTTAATAGACATAGAATTATTCAAACTTGAAAAAGCTTCACAAAAGATTGTTTGGAGCTGTTTTTAACAATCAGAGTTGAATATATATCTTTTCAATGATACAAAATGAAAATTTCGAATTTATGTACACTTGTAGATCTTTAGTAGACGAGTCGAGTGTACTCCTTATAATCGAAATTCTATATATTTTTCAAAGCACTTTAATTGCTTTTTTCAATTTCACTCACTGCTCATCAGATTTATGAACTACTTCTGTTAATTAGTATATAGAAAGATGTAGAATGTTAGTCTCTTTCTAATGGTCAAAACCACAGACCGATAGCTCTTTCCGTTGAAGAGTTATTCGAAAAGCAACTACTCGTCTTTTATTTTGAAATGGACATTACTTACTACTAATAGAAGGAGAAGACAAAGATCATCGACTAGCACTCAAGAAATCGAAAGTGATTATGACAACGTCCAATGGTACTACCCTGCATCAGAATGTATCATTATTATCTTATACCCATCTTATTCTATAGATAAAATACTACATATTTTTCAGATGCTCCATCCAATTAATAAACTTCATCACTCGAACAGCCTCCTAATTACTAAATGGAGTACTGTAACCAAAATCATGAAGTCTTTTTTCTATCGAAGATTATTTGAAATATAGTTTCAACAAATATCTTCAAACAAATTGATTGAGCATGACTATTAGCTCAAATACTTACTAGAATAAAGACTTGATTAACTCTTTGCTATGGGATCTTATCTACCAAAATCATTACTTTTGCTATGCCCTTAGTAGAATAAAAAAACAGTAATTAAATTAAAGTCGAATGTGTATTATTCTTTGTTATTACTCTGTTAGGCATCCTCGATGATTTGTTCCAAACAGAGAAAATAAAAAGAATAACAATAATAATATATTTGCTGAAATATTTTTTTTCCATTTTCCTTTTTTTGCTCTAATAATATCATCATTTAATAAATAGTGATAATCATAAAAGCACAAAGCAAATATATCGCAGACAAAGTTCACGCATACATGCTTGATTACAATAATCAGTTAAAAAAAATTCAAATAACTATATCAAAACGATGAATATATACGCCACATAAATTGCCACAGTAATTATCATATTGACCGATACTTAATATTACAAAAAAATAAATATGAAAAATGTTGGTTGTCATGAGATATTGGAAATCAAGAATAGAAAATTTGTTTAACATTTAGCTGGTAATATTTAACTTAAAAATTTCATGCTCATCTTATCATCGGCATCAATACGTGAGAGTGTTCTACAAAATTCTTCAAATGTTATTGATTTATCACCATCATCATCCTAAAAAATAAATAAAAAGTTTGAATTTCTCAAATCTTATTTTATTGTAATTACTAATTCTCCAATGGTATGATCAGCAATTGTTGCAATTTGATCATCATGAATGTTTCCACCGACCATCATTTTAAGAACTTCTAATAATTCATTTCGATCAATTTTCATATCATGATTTCTGTCGTACATCTGAAGGTAAACGCGAACCTATTGTTTTTACTAATCAATTTTTATTTTATGATTACTTACATCAAATAAAAATCTTAGTTTAGTTTCACGGGTATTAAATTCTGTTGTTGATTTTGCTTTTCCACGACGAAATGTAGCAAGAAGAAAAATAAATTGTTTAAAATTAATTTGATTATTTTCACCATAATCTTCCACAATGACATCGATTAAACGTTCTCCTAATGGATTGATATTGACCTGAATATATGTACAAAAGAAATACACAATAGAAAATAGAAAATTGTTATTAATTACTTCTGGAATACACAAGAGATCTTCGCGTGTTAAAAATCCACAATCACGTTTATCCAATGTTTTAAAACGACTGTACAAACGTTGTACTTCTTTGGTAGTGAAACCTATGACAAAATGTATTAGATTTGAAAAATCTGTGTTTTTTTTCAAAGAACTTGAATCGGTCAAATAAAGTCTACAAATTTGTTGTTCTTCACTTTATTAGTTACATAATTAAACTGATAGAGAAACATAAAAAGCTTTAAACAATAATAGTCTCAATATTCTAATTTTTAAATGGTTTATTATCGAAGTCACACATATTTTCGAAGAAAGTAGAGTGTAAATTTTAAGTCGAAGTTTTGCAACTCTCCATTCTCCTTCCTTTCATTCCACATTACACTCCTTAGCTGTCGAGGTGAATAGGCATCAGGCTTCTTTTTTTTAGAATTCTTTAGCAACGAAAAAAAGCCCTGAGCAGCATTAGCGACACGACTTCAACTGTTCTAGAACATTCCACAGCTTTCATTGAAATTTAAATGGCTGACATACGCTTGTAAATGTCCTAAATAATGTAGTTTTTATTTTTGCCCAGATAAAAATTTATATTCAAGATGTCAAGGATGATAGGTAGTGATGCGATAATTTGCCACTATTGTCATGCGATCAACAGAAATAGCGTGAATTGATCAAGTTGTAACCTTGAAAAATAATCAATATCAGTGTTTGTGAGCTTTTCAAGATATACAATAGTGTCTGGAAATCTGCTGCAGACATAATTGATATGTACAAGAAGCTTATTTACTAGTCAAATCAATGACTACAATAGTAATAATAATGCTAAATTAAGAAAAATAGGAAGCAAATAGCAACAGGGCAAACATCAAATAGAGTGTCAGTGAAGAAAAGAAAACATTAGTTTGAAATGCAGAAATAAATAAGGCAGGTCATTTTTCTGGCGATTGATTATATTTGGAGAATAACGATAGACTGTTATAGATTTTTCACGTTACGAATATTTTATTAGTATTATGAGGCTAAAGAACACATGTGAGTTCCATATTTCAGCATAAAAGAGGATGTGCTGACAAATTTTCCCCTGTAATATTTAGCGCAACAATATACGTCTCATACACAGTTACTCATTCATTCATTGAAAGCGATGAGCAGCGTAACCAGAAAAACGTTGTAGGGGAGAGCTCAACCCTTCCCCCTTTCTCCTGATCATGCCTGTAAACAGGGTTAAAACCCTCTAATAAAGGTTCTAACAAAGGCTCAAGTCCTTTTTTTAATCGAAACTCAACAATCTGTAAGGGAAGGATTGAGCTCTTGTCTGATTTTGTCACCGAGCAATAGCATGCAGTGGTCTTTCGTGCATTTTTATATCTTCTATGATTAATATTCCTGTTATGCTCATGGTACCATTGACCAACCTGTCTGTTGACAAATATTCTGCAAGTCTTCTTGTTGAAGCATAATGCTGGCATTGGAGCCCATGGTGAATTTGAATACTAATCTAGAAGAAATAGAGATAACGAAAGGAAGCAAGCTCATTCGGAAGTAAAATAGAGTCATCATTTTTTTTAATGTTAAATATCAGAGTAACATATATCAGTATGATCAATTAGGTATTTTTTGTTTCTTTTTTGTCATGAAATTGATTTGTAAATACAGTTATTTGCTTTTTTTTCAATGTTGTTATTAACCATAGTGGCATGAAATAGTCATCGAACGTTTTGATCATTAACAAGGAGCAACAACAATAATGCGTAACAACGAGCACGATTAAAGAGAAACGCTGGGTGGTGAAAAGAAAGAAAAAAAAATGTTCCTAAAACACACAGAAAACACACTAAGTTCAATGCCGTTCTTTTATTTGCTGTTTTATCATTCTTCACTTTCGCCGGGTAAACGAATATCATCAATTTTAAGAATCATTCGTACAAGTTGTGTTGCTAAACTGATCTGTTGTCGTTTACCAATAAGTGTTTCAATAACCGATTGTGCTTTCATATCTAAATAAAATAAATTTCAATGTCAATGTCAATATGAAAAAAAAAATATTAAATAAAACTTACCATTCGTTCCTTTATTAAGACAATCAACACCTAATCGTGGATTATTCTCTGCAATTTGTTGCGATTTAACATCAGATACAGTTTTAATTGGTGAATAACCACTATTTTCAGCCAATGCTAATGGGACAGATTCAAGTGCATCAGCAAATGCTCGAATAGCATACTGTTCAATTGTCGGAATCTAAAAACAGAACAAAAAACGAATGATATACAATCAAATGAGTAAACTTGATAGAAATTTATATTCAAACCTGATTTGCTTCCTTAGCTACTTCAATAGCACATGAAATTTCACATGCACCACCACCATAAACAATTCGATTGTCACGTACAAGATTTCGTACAACGCATAATGCATCATGTAATGCACGTTTTGCTTCTTCGACAACCTAAATTTAATATTAGTTCGACAATAAAAAAAGACAAGTTCTATGTTAACAATAAAAAATTACCATTTTATTGCCACCACGAACAAAAATAGTACATGTATTTGATTTTTTGCATTGTTCAATGCATAACATATGATCACTAGTTGTGCCAAAATCAAGTTCACGTACACAACCTGCATATCCTAGTTTTTCAGCTGTAAGTTCTTGAAATCGTGGTACAATACGACCACCAGTTGCAATAGCAATTAATTCAATTTCTGGACCACCAACCCAACGAACTGCTGGCAATTCATGAGAAAGAAGTAAATGATTTGCTTCATCATCGAAACCCCATTGACAAATAACCAAAGTAGTGCCTGCATCTTTAATCTATGAAACAAAAACAATCAATAAAAATTGATCTTAAAGAATTTTTGTTTTGTTTTAACATACTGCTTTAATCATTTCAGTAAATTTTTCTCTTTCATATTCGCGTAATTTTTTATAATCTTCTACATTAGTTATATCTAATTTATGTTTAGTTTTTGGTTTTGGTGGTTCAAATGGACATGTTAAAATAGCTATTTTAGCATCACGAACTTCCTATAAATATACAATACTACGAGATAAAAAAAAAAGTACGACAATAAAATCTAACCTTAGGCATTTGAGGATGAGAAAATGTTTTGTCAACAACAACGCCTTTGACTAAAAGTGTATCTTCTAGACGACCGCCTACTTTTCCTTGTACTTTAATAAGTTCAAAATTAACATCACGTCGTTCCATATCAGCGACATTCATGATTGCATTGACGGCTATTTCAGCCATTTGACGTTGACATCGGTTAACACTAAAATAGGAAACGAATACATCCTGAATTTGTTTTTCTTTTTAAATAACCGGTGATTGGAAAGCTTTTAGACAAATTGTTTGTTTACTTTTGACCAGCTGGAAAGTATCATAAGTTATGAGTTTAAATACTCTTTCTGATATAGGCCTAGACATTTCACTTCAGTTTTTGTTCGCGAGTAATGAAATAATCATTGAAAAACTCCAAAAACTTTTTCTGGACAGAATATTTTTGTATTTTCATTACCCAAACAGACAAACATGTCAATTTTTGCACAAAATTAGTCTTAAAAAACTTGTATCTTATTTTCTATGAAGTTTGTTATCTTTGTACAGCTTTTCGGTATGAAGACTTAGCGTTCAAAACTGGTTAACATTTTATTTTAAAAAGTTGATAAAATTTAATGTTGTTCACGTTCAATAGAGAGTATTTATCTGGTATCGGTATAAAGTTGTTACTACTTGCACAGTAATATCTCGGCGCTAAGAAATATATCCTTGATAGAAGAAAAAATTAGCACATACATTTTATAATAGGTATGTTTTTTCTATTCCTATGAATTGATCGTCACAAATCAAAAATTTGGTTAAGCAATAAATCTGTATTATACTGAAAATGAACAACACTGGCTAAAAAGGTTTATATTTTTTTAAACAAGTGACATATATCCAGTGTTGTCACGAACTGACTACATAAAAAAGGCATATGATCAGTAAGAAGTAGCCGGTCTATCAATTTTTACGTGTTGACAGCTCAATAACAAAGAAACAATACATGTATATTAAAGAAATGTCGCTCTGTTCTCAAAAGAGAATATTAACCTTTTATTTCCTGTGGAGTCATTCTGACTCATGTGTAGAAACCATATTCGGACTCAAATATCTTATTCAAAAAGTAAAAATAAAGATTTAATTTTTTTACGAATCTATAGCTTATTGTTTTCTCTGCACGACGTTCGATAAGCTTTTTAGTCTTTTTAATTCAGTGTTTTTTAACTTCAAGATATAGTTTATACGAAGGAATAAAAAAAACGATTGATTCAGGGAGTAAAGAGTTAAAGTGAGAAAAGAGAATTTACATTCAAAAGGGAGTATGCATGTTCCTATTGTGTGAATTGACTACTCGATAAAGAAAAAAATATTTTTGTGCAAAATGTATCTATCTTCTATTACTACGAATTGATTATCTGTAAGAAGAAAAGGACAGGTTTATATTAACTGAGAAGTTTACATTTTCTATTGTCATGAGGTTACTGAAAGTAGTGTCACAAGTGTTGCACTAATACATGTTTAGATAATTCTTACCAAGTTCATCTATGAGAATAATTTTGATTAGAAATATAAAATGTTTATCTATTGGTCTACTGGTCATGTGGAGCTACTCACTAGATCGAAGCATCATCATTGTTATTAGATCTAACTTCCGAATTTAGGCCTCATTTCTTCGAAAAAAGTTAATTTTCGTTAAGAAACGAAAATTAAGAAAAATACATTGACAGATAGCTCAAGACCTAATCTTTCATAAATGACCTGATTTATTATTCGGCACCTTCTTTTTTTGCCAAAATTTTTGATCATTTCTGTTGTCATATGTTATACAAACAAGCCATTTTTAGAAATAGAAAAAGCAGGAAAAGTTTTTCGGTTTTTCTGTTTACACTTTTTGACCGCGCAACTCTAAATCCTCTGTGGGGTCTCATTTTATAAATTTAAGTTTCTTTGCTTGAAAGAGTATGGCAAGATGCAGGGCACTACAGAGTCTCGTTTTTTTTTGTTAACTTGTTATTCTTATTTTCTACATAAAAAGTGAGAATTTAAAAAAGAAGGACTGTGATGCCCTGCATCCTGGCATACTCTTTCAAACAAAAAAAATCTAAATATATAGAATGAGCCTCAAGAGAGAAATTTCGGTTGCTGAATGAGTTATTTTTGACACTTATTTGTGAATATCTTTGTCAAACGTCATGTTATCTAGCTGAAAATGTTACCATAGTCTCTCCACTACAGCCTCAACATATCCACCAAATTTCAAGAGATTGAAATGTACCTGGTACGAAACCGGGTTTCGAGGAACGGGGCAGGTCTTCAATTCCACTCTAAATATTTCTAAAGTTATATAATTGTTTAATTATGCTAAAAAGTTTTCTGCGAAGATTGGTTATACCTGCATATTGATGCAAAGCAATCGTATGAGATTTATCTATAGCAGTTTCAAAGGATGTAAAAAGTCCAGGTGTTCATCTGTTTGAATATTGCAAAATGACACTAAGAGTTAGCTGCTTTGGTTATAGATTAGNATAAAATCAATTGTCCCATGATTATAAGAAAATAAAAATGGCTCCATATGAAATCTATCAAAATTTATATGGAAAATTGTAATAGAAAGGAAATTTTTAAAAAATACTAGGATTCGGAAAAAATTCAAGAATTCGGATAAATTCGGAAAGTCGGACGGCAGTCGGAAAAACTTAGGAAATTCGGAAAATTCCGACTAATTCGGACGATCTGGCAACCCTGTGTCCTACCCTCGAGCTCTGCTTTAATCCTGTTCATCTCGCAACGACGTTGCCTTCTTATTGTTATTTCCCTTTCTGCTAAAAAAGACAAATAATGTTTCAAAATCCAGTTTCTGTCTAAAGTTACTACGACGCTTTAAAAAATTTGCAGAAATCCATCTCGTTCTAATCGAAAACTCTGTCCTAATATCTGTTCAAAGATTATTTTTCGATTCAGATTTTGCCAGAATGTACCAAAATACTGAGTGTGTTGTGAGGCTGAAAGAGAAGATTGGCAGAATTTGTTTGCTTCTCAGTTTTCATAGAATCTGACTCGACAGCCAGTATTTGGAGAGTCAGATCAAGCATCAATGGTTTAGTCGGTCACCGTTATCTATTTCTCTTTTTATTGGTGAAGAAACGTGAAAAAGGATTTAGTATTTGACAGAAAACGACATTGGCAATTCAAAGACATAAAGAAATACGCGAATTTGATGGAACAAGATCCTAGCAGATGTTTAACCTATCACCAAGTTTAATTTTTTTTTAAAGGAAGCGAGGAAAAATGATGTTTTGTTTGAGCAAACAAGAAAAAACCAGCATGACTTTGAAATTTTTAGCAAAAAAAAAAGATGGATATTTTAGGCTAGAATGCTTTATTAAGGGGGAGGGGCGTTATATATCACGCGATTCGAGTGGGATTGTTTTGATGATATATCACGTTGAATCAAAAGGAAAGAAGAGAGTCCAAAATGGCCGTAAAACTGATCACGTGATTTTGCATAGTTTCTTATTGTGATGATATTATTGTCTTAGGGTAAATGAAAATTCATATAATTGCCATCACTACCGAATCAGTAAATCTCAAAAACTCATTCGTCAGTTTATGATCATTATCAAATATATATATATTGTATTGATTCAATTTTATAAAAGAGCAAAATAACCGATTTGGTTTTTAACAGTTAAATCCTGTCTTTTGATTCTTTTTTAATCAATTTTAATAAACAGAAAAATTAATTAAATTTAATTTGCTAATTTATTCTCTTGAAGTTTTAAGTAAAATCTAAAAAACACAATTTCCGATGATTCATTCTTTCCAATTCAAAGCAATTTAATCACAACTATTTTAGATAAAACTACATTGTTTATAATTGAAAACAAAAATGAATCGATAATAATGCGATGAAATAATATTTTATAAATCTTCTATTCTCTCATCTACTTACTTCATAAAGCTAAATCAAATCAACAAATAAAATTTGAATACTATCAAATAAATTTAGACCCTTTTTGTAGCGTTTCAAACATTCATTTTTCTTACGGTCATATCGAATAATATTCTATGCATGTTGTGGCAGCTTGTATTAATCACCTATTAGGTTTTTTTTCTTTGTGCGCTTTGCCATATGCCGAACGATTTGCATTCATTCTATCTATTTCTTCAAAAAAAGAAGTATCATGAAAATGGTACTTATCGTTCTAATACTTTATTTCTTGACCCATTTCACAGCAGCTATCCAATGGTTCAATTTTCGATTGAATGAACAACCAAAATATTTAAGTTATTCATCGAATACTCGTCATCCAAATTTTCATTTTCAACAATTTGCACATGAACAACAGATTCATGCACATTCTTTTAATATATCCAATCGTCCGGTTATAGTTGCTTCTAACAAGAAGCCTATAAATCGTTCACTTCTGCAAACATTTGCCAATCAAGCAAAATATCGTTTTAATAACACCGATTTTGTTCATTATCAAACTAATAATATCAATAAGAAAAGTGACCAAAGAACTTCATATCAACAAGAACAACATCAATATCTCAATAAACTTGAAAGTTTTCATTCAAATGATCGTGTCATTAACAATACACATAAAAGAAACATTCATCCAAAATTTCTCTTCTTTTTTCCTATTGCTAAAAGAACGACAACAGTTGTTAATCGACGTGTTTTTCCTCAAATTCCATTGTTAAAATTGATTGCTGCTGATTCAAAACGTAATAATTCATCGATTATTAAAAATAAAATTCAATCATTTCGAACTCGATCGGTACTAGAAAAAGCAATTATGAAAAGTACAAAGCAAAATCTTCTTCGAGCTTTTACAACAAAAGCAACTAACAACAATCGTCTTCAATATCGGCAACTTATCTTAGATGATTTTAATAATCAACAACAATTGAAAGAATTTCAGCAAAATGAAAATGAGAAAAATGCTACATATATCCATTCAAATATTAACTTAGTTTTGAAAAAACGTAAACCACGAAATCAAGAAAATGATGATTCATTAGATATATTTCATAACATGATTTTTGTACGTGATGCACCTGTAAATCAGGAAAATGTCGATTGGGATTAATATGAAAACATTATATGTTCACTTATATTTTTTGTCTAATTATTTGAAAAATAAATCTTTCATTTTAGAAATGTATCACATTAACCTATGTTTGTTCATATCATAGATCTTCTTCATAAGAAATTACTTCAACATTTTCAAGATTCCAACATAGAAAGTAATCAAAGATGAAATTAGACAAAATGTTCATTCACTATTCAACCTCTTAAAAGCGTCTGTAGAAATTTGAAAACACTCGTTTAGAATCAGCATTTTGCATTCTTTCCAAATATGATAGACTCAAGAACTGTGTAGGTCTGCGTGTTTAGAAGTTATTTAGCGTACCCTTTCAGGACTTGGAAATTAGATTCTGAGGAATCTCAGTGCGTCAAAAATTACCTAAAGAATAAGCGAAAATAACTTTAAATACAAATAATGAAAGAGCAAACATTTTTTTATAAAATAATATATTAATCATTACTTTTTTGCAAGTTCTTTGTCAACAGTAACTTTTTTTTGGGGTACGAAAACATCGTATCAATTTCGGCTGCTTTCTCCATTTCTATGGAAAACAGACTTTAAACAAAGGTCGGCCATTCCTGATTAATTGTTCCATAACTTTTAATTCTTATTTATCAGAGCTAGGCAAGTCAAGACGGCAAGGTCCCAAGCCCAAGTCAAGTCTAACTTGACTTGATTTGTTTAGTTCTGATTCTTATAACACTTTGTGGAAAACAATCTTGTCTTTAATTCTATGCTTGAAAACTGGTAATATAATATATGCAATAAAGGAGATTATTTTTGCAAAAAAAGGTAAATTTTTTCCTTCTATACTTAATGTTTGGGCCTCTAAAAGTTCGACGAAGTTCTAGAAAAATTTTGAGCCTATATATTTACAAACAACAAAAAGTTTTGATTTTAACCTAATGTTGTCAAATTTCTGCAGACTTATTTAAGAGATTGAAAAGTGAATGAATGTTTTTTCTAATTTAATTACTTTTCGATCGCTTATTATAGTGATTTTTTTTCAACTGTCTCTTTCCAACAAATTTAAAAAAACGAACAATCTATTCGAACCCAAATAAAGTTATGCTCATTTTTATATAAAACATAACTTGGAATATTACAGAAAAAACAACAGACAACAAAAAAGAAACCAAAAACTAATTACTTGGATTATAATAAAAACATTTCAACTGTTACATATACATATAAATACAAAAGGAATGTAACTCAGATTAAAAATATCTTAACAATCATATGATCAAGTTTATTTGGTACTAGTTATTCTGAGAGATATTCCCTGATAATAAATTCACCACGAACTATCAATCCTTAACGTTATTCATTTCGTTTAATTTCTTCGTTGTCGTTTTGCATAGAATATTTCTTCATTGGTATACGAATGTTGTCGTTCATTGTTTAAGAGATGATCAATACGTACTCTTAATTGATGATTGTTATGACGTAATTCATTTAATTCAATAGAACAGTTTTTTAAATCAAGTCTACATCGATCATAATCATGTTTTAATAATGTCATATTATTAATTGTTGCTTCATGCTGAGCACGTAAATATGCATAATCATGTTCATAGATACTTATTTTTTCTTCGGTTAATTGTCGTGTTTTTCGTTCAAGTAATAGTTCACGAACTAATGCTTGTACAACAGGTGGATGTTTTTCAACATTATTTACAATTTCATCAATGGGCATAGCCAAAACTGGTGCATGAAAATAATGATATTGTCTGTTTGATTGAACTAAAATAATAACAGAAAAGAGCTATCAATGATTTATAGAAAAATACTCACTTGAATGATGATGCCGTTCATTAGAATCAGCTCGTCTATCATAGTCCTTGGATCGATCATTATTTCGATTTTGTTGAGATTCGCGTTTATTCGCTGGTGAACGTGATCGTGATTGATGACGTTTATGATGATGATGAGACATTATCTAGAAATAGAAAATAATCGTTTACTTTATTTCTATATATTCACAACTGAAATAATTGTGTTTCTTATCTGTTGAGAATTAAATGTATAATAGATGAGAACGAATATATGCATTATATGTTAGAATTTTGTATAGAACTCTAACTTTCACGGAGGTGGAGTGATTGAAGAAAATCCTTCTTGAAGTCCATATTGAAGCTACATCAATAAAACATTCAACATTATTCTTAATATGCTAAGTGACAAACAAAAATATACTATTTTGTAACTTCATAAGTTTCAAGAAAAAAAACTTACATCCAAGAAATATTTAAATTCAACATATAGCACAAAAAGAAAGTGAATATACTTGATGAAAAAAAAAATTCTATATTATCACAGTTACTAAAATGACCTCGGACATAAAATCGTTGCTCTTTAGAAATTTTGCAAGTAGACTTTTCCGATGATGTTGTAGTTGTGGACGATATTCATATAGTTCATTTCCAATTGTTATCATTGATCAGTTATTTACAAGAATTAAGATTTTCCTGCGAAAACAATAATCGATTGATGTTTCCAAATTCTAGATTTGTCCTATTTTTCACTAATATTTTTTGACACTGTAAAAAAACAGTTTTGGGAGTCTTATAGAACTTAGAATCGAAAAACATTTTTTGTTTCCAAGTTAAAATGTTTGACTATTGATCTAAGATGAACAGATAGTATCTAGTTTTGGAAATAAGATCAAGATAGCATGTTAGCAGAGACGGTGCATAAGAGAGCCAAACATAAGAATTCTCACATAGTGACCATTGATCTAAACTATTGACTTTCAACATTCATGCTCTTAATTTATTCTATTGTAGATATATTGAAATGCTGTTTCTGCTTGTTTTCAAATATTATTCTTAGACAATTCAGACAAAAAATAAGAATGTTTTCTTTTATTTTTGTTCTTTTTTTCAGATTTCGAGTAAATAGAATTATTTTTTTTTATGTTGTAAGCGCTCTTTTTATTTAACTTCTCTTGAATTTAATTATCATTTGTTATTGAAAACATGGGATCAATTCGAAAATGCATGGTTTCACGTGAACGTGTAGGTCATTTTTTTTTCATCATTGAAAAATAAGCATAATTGTAAAGCAAAAAACTCTAATAGACTATGTATTACCATTATATTCAAACATATCATTTTAAATATATATATGAAACTTATATTATTAGAAAAAAATTAATCAAATCACTGGAAGAAAAAATCTCAAGTGGATAAAAAATTGTCGTCGATGATTTCTGATTATTAAAATAATAAGACTTAAAAAAAAACGTTAAGTATTTGATATGCATGACGTCTACTTATAAAAGTCACTATTTGCCTTATTACACATTAGTAAGAAATATTTCTCTCAGAATTTGAAAAAAGTCATTCTGTATAAAGCCATGATTGCCAAGTGCTATCAAAATCTACTAAAAAAACAGAGCAGATTATATTACAAAAGAAATTATACAGAGAAAAAAGTAATTTTAACTCTTGAAAATGAAATGGTCAATATTCTACTCTCAGTCAAATTGCAAATAAAGATGAATTTCTTAAAAGAAAGTCTACACATAAAATTTTGAGAATATCTGCATAATTTACAAAAAAAAAAAAAACCTAAAATAGAATGATGAATAGATAGCAATTGAAATAAATAGAAAAATAAACTCACAAAACATAATTTTAAATTTCATAAATAATTGTTATTTATGTTAGTAATAAAATTATAGCAAAATTATTGCCTCAAATGTTTCACTAAAACATTAACATATGAAAAAACAAATATAACCAGTAAAATATTAAATTGATGCTTAGTCATACGGAGTAGAAAAAGATTTCAATTATAGGTAGTCGGAAAAACCTAAACAACACTTGTCCAATAATCAAACTTGGATAGATGTCTCTGAATGTTATTCATAATCAAACATGGCACTGGTGGTTGCTAAGAAAATCAGGTTGAATAACAAGTGAAGCAAGATGGCAACAGCTTGTTTTGACTTATATTAACGATGACTCTCCTCTTCTTAGATGTATGTAAAATATACTGATTAAGAAACTTTTCAAGTTAAATTTTTTTTTAGAATTTTGTTTAAAAAAATAACCTTTCACACAACCTTATGAAATGAAAATTGACGCCTCATTTATTTCTACGCACATTGAAATAAGAGCTTGTTTGAAAACGATGCTTTATAGTGTATTCGATTGTTGACTAAGTGCAAACAGTCGTCGTAATATATGATTCTTTTTTCTTAATGAACGAAAAAAAAAGAGATGACGTGAATTTTTGAAATGTTAAATTTTTGGTCCGATCTTTTCTTCCATCTCCCCTGCTGGTCTCCAGTTTGTTCAAGTGAAAATATTCTTTAATTAAAAACCCGACGGACTTTTTTTTTCTTTCCTTTAGAAGCTGTCAATCACTTGTAATTGAGAGAGAATTTTTTTTATGAAACCAGTATTTTATCAAGTGTCCTTTTCTTATATCAATCATTTTTTTGTCAGATCATAAAAATGAACAAACATTCTGGAGACGATGTAAGTGAAATATTTCCTTCTTTTTTTTTAAATGAATAAAAAAGAAAGAATTTATCAGTTTTTAATCTTCATAATTCAAGAATCAGAGCCGATTATTTTCTCTTCCTTTATTCTTTCTGTCTGTCTTTCGCTCTTCGTTATGTTATTATTGCTCTATACTTGAATGGCTGCGTGCATCGAGAATAGAAGTGTATTGTTGCAAAAGAAAAAAAAATGAATGTACCGCCATTATAATAGTAACAACAACATAACAACAATGTGTATATTGATTCTGCAAGGCGATTTATTTTGTTTTTTTTTCGCAATTTGTTTTTCTCTTCTTAATCATATTTTTGAAGATCTTTTGTTAATATAATGGCTTTCGGTATCGAATCTGTAATTTTTCTGTCCAAAGAGTTTCAATCATAAGTATTATCGAAAGTAATTCTTCATAAACCAACAAATTTATCTAATTAAAAATATTCATTTCCTGTCACACACCACTAATAATAAGATATTCTAAAATCAAATGGCAACAACAGGACAACGACAAAGTAGAATAAGTTCAAGTGGATCAAGTGGTGGAGTATCATCATCAGAAGATGATGTGCCATCAACAGTACTTGGTAAACCAACAATGAATAAAGCAGTTGAATTATCATTAAAAGATACTGAAGACCCAATTGAGTTTCAAGCACCATTACCTGATTATTATGGTAAAAGAAAATATTTTTAAACAAAAAAAAAAAAGTAACTTCTAATCTGTTTGTTTGTTTTTCTGTAGAAGAAGCAGGTGAATCTGATGATGATCGACGAATATTACCGAGAGCCATTCAATCATCTGCATCAGGAACAATTGAAGATGAAAATGACAATAGAAAACAACAATTAACAAAGAAAAAGCGAAAAAGGTTTGATAAAAATGAAAATAAAATAAAAACTATTTCATTTAAATATATTTTAATACTTTAAAGAGTTCACTATATATGTGTATCCATGTGCAAATATGAATGTGTCAGACGAGCGGCAAAACGATTAAATTTTCGTGAAGTAGCTGATGAAGATGATTGGAATGTTTATTGGACAGATACAAGTGTTGGCATTGAAAGAGTTGCGCAAATGAAAAAATGGCAGGTTAATATAAATATAATTCTTTCTTTTTCTTTTTTGTTTTACATATTTGATAATTGTTAATTTAAATAGAAAATAAATCATTTTCCGGGTATGAGTGAAATATGTCGAAAAGATTCTTTAACAAGAAATATGTCTCGTATGGTTAAAATGTTTCCAAAAGATTATACATTTTATCCAAAAGCTTGGTGTCTTCCAGCTGAGTACGAATTTAATTTATTATTAACTTTTATCTTATTTATTTTATTAATAAAATAGTTATAGCGATTTTGCTAAATATTATACAGAGAAAAAATATAAAACATATATATCAAAACCGGATGTTGGTTGTCAAGGTCGTGGAATATTTATAACGAAAAATCCAGGAAGAGACATTAAACCGTAAGAAATTAAATAATCAAGTTTATTTAATTGTTAAAAACAACAAAACAAAAATATTTTTCTTTTGTTTGTTTTTTATTTAGCACTGATAATTTTGTAATACAAGTATATGTTAATCGAGTATGAAAATCATTTTGTTGAACATATGAAAATATATTCTTTTTTGTGTGTTTTTATTTTAGCCATTTTTACTTGATGGATTTAAATTTGATTTACGTGTTTATGTGGCTGTTACATCATGTGATCCATTTCGAATATTTGTTTATAAAGATGGTCTTGCTCGTTTTACAACACAACAATATGAAGAACCATCAAATTCAAATTGTGTATGAGAAAAAAAGAAAATTTTAACTTAAAATATATCTTATGGGCTAAATTCAAATTCGTTTAGAAATAAATTCATATAATCCCATGCTTTACTAAAAGTAGAATCAAATGACAATATAGAGAGAAAAGCTAAAATTACAACGATTGTACCGACAAATAGTCTAAATATAGATCAATGCGTTATAATCTCCTTGAGAAAAGATGTCTGATAAAATAAAGTGTTGATAATAATATATTGAGGGTAGAGATATGCAGGGTTATCCTATCGTACAGAATAGAGCAGGATAAAGGTTAGAGAATTTTTCTCAGTCAGAATACATGATACGGAGAAAGCTGACCCTGGATATTTCTAGTTGAGAATGAAGGTAATTCTGACGCAATCACTGTGACTCACGACTATCATGGTCGTGACCTTGATCAGTGTATATTAGAAGTCATGACTCGACTTTAGTAAAGGACAGTCATGACTACTAAAAATAATCACATATCCTGTGTCTATATGTTAACTGTATTAGTTTTTCGACAACATAAATAATTTCATATTCTTAGTTGACCACCATGGCTGAATGACTATATTATCCGACATTTATCCACAAATACTGAATACAAACTTCAATACCCTCAGTCATGAAATGACTCTAGACAAGTCACTAAAGGCTATTTTTCTCGAACCATCCATCCAATGGCATGCTGACTACGTTGTGACATACAGTTACTCTTGTAGCTAGTTTGCAGTTAGTTAGTGTGCATACGGAGCGCAAAAAGTCAGCATTAGATCGGTCTTCTGTCCGGAGCTATAGTTAGTCATAGCTGCAAGGAAGATATCGTGGTATTGACTCTGCCTCTAGACAGCGCTCCATATCGCAAGGTAATTCAAAAATGCAGGAGTATTTTTCTTTCTCTTTTATATTCTTAGCTTATTTCTTTAATTTACTCATTTTTTTCCTAATTGAAATAATTTCATAAATGTTATGGAAGAATTTAGAACTTAAGGAAATTCTAAATTTTTCCAATGTTTAACTTCTCCTGCAATACAAACATCATAACAAGCACAAAAATAATAAAAGTACATATTCAATTGCAGTGTACTGTTAAAGAAAAACACACGTATATGTTACTATTCCATTGAACTGAATCGAATTAATTAGGAACATTGTTTTTTTTCCTTTATCTAAACTTTGCCACAAAAAAATCATCCAAAAAAAAATCACTATTTATGATAAACTAGAAAGAATAACTGCCGTGTACCTGCTCACAAAACTTGATCACGTCGGGCACTAGTGAGAAGAAGGCTGAGGGCCATCCTTTTCATCTATACCAAAAAGCTGGAAGCTTTTGGTCCAACAAAATGTCATTCAAAACGAGATAACTGTACAATTTATTTTACTCAGATAAAAACTATTATTATTATAATATGAATTTCTCTTTAGTTGAATTCTAATGTTCTTTTTCGGTCAAAAATTAGTATTTTAATTTAGCTCACAACATACATGCTTTCATTTTCTTTCAGAAAGATATTTTTATGCATTTAACCAATTATGCTATTCAAAAACGTTCCGATGATTTTATCCGAGATGAAGATTCGGGCACAAAACGGTAATAAAAAAAAAAAAAAACAAATAATCAAAAGAAAAAAAATTATTTTCTTTTATTTAGTCGAATAACAACTATTAATCGATGGTTAGTCGAACATGGTTATGATGTAGCGAAATTATGGGCGGATATTGATGATGTTATTATAAAAGTTCTTATATCCGCACATTCAGTTCTTAAACATAATTATCGTGCTTGTTTTCCAAATCATTATCGTGGTAGTGCTTGTTTTGAAATTCTTGGTTTTGATGTATTAATTGATCGAAAATTAAAACCCTATGTTCTTGAAGTAAAATCATTAATTTAAAGAAAAAAGAATTACAAAAAACATTCAAAAATAAATATTTTTTTTTCAAGGTGAATCATTCTCCAAGTTTTACAACTGATTCAAAGCTTGATAGAGAAATAAAAGATGCACTTATATATGATACATTACTTTTATTGAATATGCCTGCAGCTGATAAACGTCGATTTGTTGAAGAAGAAAAAAAACGTGCAAAAGAAAGACTTTTTCAAAAAATTAATAAAAAAGATAATAAATATCGAGAAGAACAAGAAGATCTTGCTCAGCAATGGCAAAAAGAAATTGAAAAATGGGAAGATCAACATATGGGAAATTATCGACGAATTTATCCTGGTCTTGATACAGCACAAAAATATGATAGATTTTATACACAATCAGGAACACTTTATTCAGAAACAGCTGCTTCAAAAGCTCGACTAGAACAAGCAAAGTATGTTTAAATATAACGGGTAATCACAAAATTTTTAGACAAGATGTCTGTTCAATTTTAACTGATTAGAAAGTATTTTCGACGAATCAAAAACTATGAGTTAAAATGTTCTTTTCGAATATGAGTTTGGAAATTTTGTCTCACGAGTAGAGATGTGTGGGACCAAGTATTTTTGGTTTCAATCTAAAAAAAAAACTATTCCCGAATATGTTCGTATCACACGTAAAAAAGTTCTTCCAATGAAATTTCAAGAACGATAGCTCGAAAAATCAAACCATTCTAGACTTTTCTTTTACTCACTAGTACTCATCAACTAAACATCACTTCAGTCGAAAATCGAGTTGATATCAGGAGAGATTCCCTCATGAATTTTCGTTCGAGAGTAACGATATAATCGTTGAAAAAATCAAAAACTTAGTTTGAACGGAAAATTTTTGTATTTTCAGTAGTGGAATTTTAAACTAAAAATTTCGATCTTGATTTATATATCAGCTTGTAAATCAGAAATTATCATACAAAGTAAACTCTTTGACGTTTTCTTTTTGTCAACAAAGCATCTCATCGTTCATTATTCCTGAACACTCATTTTCAAAAAAATCAACAACCGTTTTACCTTGATAGGAGCTCTTGAAAAAAAAAATGTTTGTAGCCTCATTTGGATAAACACTACAGTTTAGTTCAAAATAACTAACTGTAATAATCTTCAACATGTTCGAAAATGATTTTTAGAGTAAACAAAAACTTGTTGACTCACCGTTAAATATAATTTTTCTGGTCTTTCAAAAAATCTTTCACTACTCGTGAACAAAGATTAAGACAAAATTTCTAAGCCTATATTCAAAAAAAGCGCAAAATTTTAATTCTAAAGCATGACTTTTGACTCGTTGGAAATACTTTCTAGAGAATAAAAAATGAGCAAGCATCTTGTCTAAAAACTTTCCGATAATGTGTTAAACATAAAAAAAAAGAGAGAAGAATCAGCAAATTACTTTTTTTTTGTCTTTTATTTAATAGAGCACAAATTGATGAATTACAAAGAAAACAAGATAAATTAAATGCATTTAAAAATCGAAAAGTATATTCCGGTGCAAGTAATAATAGTTCAAGAGAAGTTTTTGGTGAAAGTCCAACACGACGACCATTAGCAACTGTTAAATCATCAAGAAGTTCATCATTTAATCGAACACCATTAAAACGTCTTACAGCTGTAAGTTAAAATAGCTTTTTCTTTCGTTATTGCATTTTTTTTCTCCTCTATCCTCTATACTAACTTACTAATATGGGAAAAATTTATAGAAATTGGCTTTTTCTCATCGACAGTCAATGGTAAATTATTTCACTATTCTTCGTTGCTATACTTTTTCTTTGCCTATTGTATTTAAATGTCCAAGAATATATCAATCACTAAGAATAATAAAATTAATTTTTTTAAAAACTCTTTTTTAGAATGCTACTTTGGCTATTTCGCCAGTTCAAACCTATGGAGAATCATTAAGATCCATGGAAATTGATGAAAACGAAGAATTTGAAAGAATGACATTACTTAAACAACGTGAAACTCTCATGCGAGGAATGGGTAAGAAAATAAAACCGAAGAAAATTTTATTGAACAAAATTTTTATTTGTTTTTAAATTACTAGGCGTCATTGATATGTGTCATCGTTTGTTATTTGGTACACCAGGAACTATGGCTAATGTACCAATCATGACTAATGTTAATGCAGTAACAAATGCACAATATCATCCTTCAGTAAATAAATTCAAAGAAAATAATTTTTTTTTTTGGATTCGTGTAAATGATGCGATTATAAAAGTTAAATCTATATTCAAACAGTTATTTCATATAAAATTAACTACCGATCTAGACATTTTTCCGAATACGCGATCATCCAAAAATACAGTCAATGCCAAACATGATTACCATAAAAAAAAAATCAGAAAAGATTATTTGTTGGCTACTTCCATAAGTTACCGTTACTCGGTCCTTTTCACAACAGACGACTTGTCATCGGATTGTCTCTACCCCAGGACCTGTCTCAATTCGATTTACTTCGCAATGACATTGTCTGAAGCGGTACAAAATTGACAGAAAGTCAGACATTTTGGAAGGAGCATCTTCCCTTCCCTAATCGAAAACCCTACTTTCACTATGTGCATTGAAGAATTCGAAATATGCTAATATATTATGAATCAGATGTATGACCATTTTAAAACATTCATTATTTTGTAGTTCAGGTAGCTAGCAGACGAGATTTTTCAGAGTTTTTTCCATGACCACGAACAAAGTTAGTGATGAGCGGCGCAAAATCTTCTTTTCAGGGAAATCAATAACTTCTTGTCGCTGATATAACATTCATGTTCATATGAGTAGAAAAGTTGCATTTAAAAAATCTACAAAATTGAGACACTTATAGAAAGCAATAAGTTACTATAGCTTCCTCAATTTTTTTTAGTAGAGGCGATTGCACTCTATTGCTTTGTTGGTATGTTGCCTATGATGGCAGGTGTTCTTGTGAGTGTTGTTTGCATTTTTCGATGATCGTGAATGATCTCGTATTCGACAAAATGTCTAAATTGGCACAATATTCTAAATGAAGGAACTGTTTGAGGATAGATTTAACTTTTGTTGGCTGATCATGTAGTTTACAAGAGGTCAATTTTCATGATCTATTTTTTTTAGATGCCAATTGATATTGCTGATTCATCACAAAATCTTTCTTCGGTTCAATATGTTGGTTCAAAATTACCTAATGCACAATTAAATCGATATATAACAAATAATGGAGCATCAACGCAAGTGTTTCAACAATATTTTAGTAATCAACAACAACAAATGCAATCGAAATTTGAAACTCGATCCACAAGAAATGTAAATATTTTTGTTTTTGATAAAAAAGCTTAACAATGCTCGAATATATATTTATTTATTTGTTTTTTTCGTCTTTTTATTTTAGGGAACAACAATTTCACAAAATAGTTCACGAAATGGTCGTTATCAACAAGCATTACGTTCATCGGAAAATAATCTTCAATATAATAATATTAATCGTATTTTATTACCGACAAATACTATGCCACAAATGCCGACAAACGTATTACCTAAAACCAGCGTGATTTCAGCTAATTCAACATTCGATTCATCAATACGAACTAAAAGTGCAAATACAATACCACGAACACGGACAGGTCTGTTCGGTTAAAAAAAAAGAAACAAATTAATACATTACATTTAAATATTTGCAACACGTATTTGGACAATATTCAACCTCCTTTTCTTGGTCTTCACACGTTCTACACATAAATCATGCATGTTTACACCCATATTCTTCTTCTTCTTCTTCTAATTTTCTATTTACTATACACATATCTTCCAATGATTCTATGAAAAACTGGTAAGTAAACTCGATTAAAAAGATTGAAATGATTTAAAAGAATTTTTAATTAATGAATTTTTTTTTTTATTAAGGCGGTCTCTATTTGGTTTCATGCGGTTCTACTATAACTCGTCTTCCGATAAATGCAAATTCAAATGGTGGAAATGTTGTTCCCACAAAAGAAATAGCTGTTAATGGTTCATCAATATCGGTTGGAAATAAATTAGAATCTCTATGTGATCTTGCATCACTTGAACAATTTAAAAGATTACATTTAACAAAGATTTCAGCGAATGATACTGTTTTATCATCAGAATCTTCACCAACACCAAAATGAGATCGATAGAAGTTTTGTTTTTGTTTTTTGTTTTTGTTTTCTTTTTTTTTATATCGCGCTTTCGTTTATTTTTTTTTTTTTTTTTGCAACTGTCCCACCCCGGTTTTTGTGCTTCGTTCGTTCTAAAACCTTTCCTTTATGTTTTTAGTGTGCCTTGTAGACAGATGATGATGATGATGTTTGTTTATTGGTTTATTCTTTTTTTCGTATGTTTGTACGAAAAATTTTTTTTGTGAATGTGTGTGAAAATTGAGCGAGAGAATGATGAGCAAAACCAATGACATCTGTTTTTCGAACATAGAAGAAATAATTTCATAGACTTTGATTGCTTTTATTTTTATTATCGAATCATAAAGCAAATACACATACGTCCAATGACACAATGAATATTACATTTTGTTTTCTTTGATATATAAATAATTTTGACATATATAACATAATACTAAGGAGAAGAATTATTGAATTTAGGAGAACAGAATTTTTCATTTCATTTAAAAAAAAAGTTTCTTGTTAAAATGTAAGTTTTGAGTTAGTAAAAAAAAAAAAACCATTTGACATTTCAATTCAATGCAAACAAATATCTAAGTCTCCTCAATTGGCTATATGAATGAAAAAAATGTGCACTGTTATCTTTTATTTATCTTAATTATTCATTGATTCGGTTAAAGACATACATATTTATTAACATTGCATTCAATCTGTTTTAATATAACGTTAACACCGAGTAATGAGAGAGAATATTCAGACAAACTATCTTTTAATATGAATAATTGACATTCAAAACAACATTCATTTATTCATAATGTATCATAATAAAATACGAAATAATTTATTTCATCTAATGAGAAAATATTTTCATGAATAAAAACTTTTATGCATGTACGAATAATAGATGAACATTTTTTATCATAATATAAATTTAATGTTGATCGTGATAAATACTGAATATATATTTAAGAACTTCTAATTAAAGAAATATGTCGATAAACTTTCATTCAAGAAGTTAAAATAAAATTTTATTTTCTATTTTTAAATAGAATAATAATTATTAGAAGACACTAAAATAATTAATCAAAAATATTCTTTTAAAATATTTTCTTTTTCAATTAATAACATGTTCATTAATGAGTTAAATATAAATAAATAAAAAAAAATAATATGTTAATGAGTATATAGAGAATTAATTTTACTTTATAACAATGACATAAAATGTTTTCAACAAAAAATAGGAAAAACAAGGTATCAATTCATAGTCTTTCTTAAAAAATGTGCAATCAACTAAGTAGTCACGAAACATTTTTTTTTTGGAAGAACTATGCATTACTCAGTTTATTTTGAAGTGTCTAAAAATGTAATAACAAAAAAAAAATTAATCTAAATATGAATATGTATGAGATTTTCGATATAGACATATGTATATATATACTCATGATCAATACATACAGATTGATATCAGTATCAATGAAGTGTTTAATATATAAGATTTTATTTCCTAGACAAAAGCTAATAAATTAGATATTTTTAAATACATTGCTCATATGATATAAAGAAAACAATTAAAAATTATTTTCAACAAGAGAAAATTATTATGTCAGTGAATTGAAGAATTTAATTGGATCATATTCATTTTGTTTTTTGAGACTTTAATTTGTAAATTATTCTTTTCATAATGTTATTAAGCAAATAAATGACTAATCATGTTTGATGTGCAGTACACGTGATATAATATGAAGGTTTATTTGTAGTCGTTTCACATTGTGTTGTTTTTAATAATGTAAAATGTTAAATTAAAATAATTACTTACCTTCTTTTATTATTTCGTGTTTTGGCAAGATTTTTTTAATTAAGTCTTATCAAGAAATATAAATTTAGTTGAATGAAAATAATTTTTCATTGAATTCTAATTTTCACCTGGAAGTTTCTTTGTATATTTATTTATTTATGAAAATGAAACACATGTTTTAAAAATATTACTTTTAAACATTGATTCTAAAATTTATGATTATATGATTTCATAATATTTATGATTCAATAAAAAAGGTCTGTTTTGAAAATTGAAAACAAAAGAAAAATACAATCTATTTTCATGATAAATTTCATGAAAAAAAAACAAATAGATATTGATGCATCTTTATTCTATTGATTACATCAATTAACATTCATATTTCTATTTGTCAGTAGTTGTTTATTTTGAAAGTGGGAGAAGAGAAGAGAAAAAAAAAAGTACATGATCAATTATAGTAGTAGGAAAACGACGACAACGATGACGATACCAAACCTTTAAAGTTAAATTGAGCAATATCATCCAGATAGTTAGAACAAAAAAACAGAACAAACAGGATTAAACAACTGTACATGAAAAGAAAATCCAAGAGAGCACAAAAAAAAGTGATATTTGGATGATAAGCAAAATGAAAAAAAAGAAAAATACCCGCGTTTACGCGAAAAAAAAATAATAATAAATACAGCCGAGAGAAAAAAAAAAGATATGAAATAAGCTGATTTTTTTTAATAGAAATATTTATTTTTCTTTTTTCACATGTGTCGACCACGCTTTGGTTTTTGAAAATCCGATGCATTTGAACCACTAAATAAATCTGCTGAATGCCAATCACGTTTTCGCGCTAAATGATCAGCAACTTGTTGACGAACAAAACTTTCAAGTTGTTGAGCTGTTGTTGGTGGTGATGGTGATTGATGACGATATGAATTCGAATGAACATTACGATTAGCATTGTCAATGTCTAAAATAAAAATCATAACAAAATACAAATTTTTGTTTTTCTTTACCATGCATGACAAGTGCTTGTCGAAATGTTTGTAAATCATCAACAATAGGTTGATTTTGATTTGTTGTTAATTCTGTAGCTGAATCTTGTCGACGTAAACTACTGCTATTTGTTGTACCACTGTTCGTACTACCGATTTCGGTTGTTGATAATGAACTGTTAGGATTATATGGTCGAGATGCAAAACGATATGGTGGTCGACCAATTAAATAATCATAAACTTCTTCCGTACGTATATGACGACGTTGTTTACGACGCGCCCAACATAATAGTTCTTTTGTTTTACGTTGTTCACCGTTGATAATACCTAATTGAGTGGCATCTTTCAATGCATCAAGACTTTCTATTTATTGAGAAGAAGAAAAAAAACAACAACATGATATTTATGTATATTAATTTACGTAAAATTCTTACCTTTATAAAGCATTGTAACTGATCCAGCTGCTGCATGAAACGTATTCCAATTAGCTGTTCCGTTAGAACGTTCTAAAAGAAAATATGTAAAAAAAAAATTTGTTTTTAAATACTTTGACCTACCACGAAACATTTTGGTTACAGCTTTAGCAGCATTTTGAAAGGCAATAAATAATTTTTGTGTATATAAATCTTGTCCATTAACTAAACTTTCGTTTATCATCCGTTCCAACTCATGTTCATATTTTGATAAAGCAGTTTCTTCACTATCAATTGATGATGATAAATGAGTGCTACTAGGTATTCCAGTACGTTCCGGAGAATCACCAATATCGGTTGAATCACCAAAATTCGACATTAGGATATTATAGATATCTGAATTAAAATAAAATAAACAATATGAGTTAAATAATAAACAATCATATAGAAATGAAAAAATAATAATAATGATGATGATCAAATGTGATTTTTTTCCCTTCAATCCATTGTTTAACTGTCATATCCAATAGATGAGGTCGCTAGGTAGATGTTTATTTTTTTTTAATATACTTTTTAACAAAGAAAATATACTAAAAAAATTATTTTTATGATAATGAAATATATTTAAGAAGAAAATTGAAATAGATGAAAAGTTGCAAATTTATTGCTCAATCGACACTTGATTGGTTAATTGAAAATACAGACAAATGAAGAAATCCAAAGAATTGCGCAGCAAACGATTATCTTTCGTCTTTATGTTTTCTGATAGATTTCTCTCTTCTCTCTCTTTAAAATTTTTGTAGATTAAAAACCCGGTGTGTTTGTTTGTAGAAACTTTTTTTTCCGTAGAAACGTATGTTGGAAAATTTTCGTTCATTTTTTATGGATTTATTCTAGAGGAAGTATAGAATGGATAAAAACGATAATGTTCAAGCACCACCTTCAACCGGTGAATCACCAGCAACCGGTGCTCAATCAACATCAACACAAGCAGTGACGTCACCATCAGCTAGTGGTGCAAGTGCTACTGGTACACCTTCAACGGCACTAGGAAATCCGGGTTTTCTTCAAAATGTTCAACAACGATTTGATTCAATGGGTGATGATGCTGGATCATTTCTTGTCGGAAGGTATAATGAAGAAAAAAAAAGATATCGAGTACTATCTTAATACCAATGCATCCAATATCCAGAACGAAATCTCATAAAATTCTTAATACTATTCAACTAAAACTTATTCGATTCTCCTGAATATGATGTGATTATTCCTTAAATAGAGTTCTGTATGCTTACGATGGAAGTCTTCCAATTGATAAAAGGCTTTTGAGTGGAGATCACGTGTACTATGTTAGCTCAAATGAACTATAAAAATCTTGAAAAAAGTTCCTATTCATAGCTTGTTGCTACATAAATACTACATTTTTATGGTATCCTTTTAACGAATACCGTAGTCTCCCTCAGAAACACTAGGAAAACTGATTTTCAGATTTCAACTTGAAACTTTACATAGATACGGGCGTTAATGAGAGTACATTATTGTGAAAGTTTCAAGTCTTTTGGATTTGCTTCTCTCCTGAAATAAAAACATGGAATCTGCTGATCGATATAAAAGACATACTTTTACCATAACTGTATCTTAAGAGAGAAATAATGAAAATATCTGAAACTTTCACAGGAAACTATTCTCATTAATGTCTATCTCTTTGCAAAGTTTCAAGTTGAAATTCAAAAATCAATTGTCCTGAAGAGAACCATGGCATTCTGATTAAAAATATCGTAAAAGTGTGGTATCTTTGCAGCAATAAGTTAAGGACACAAATTCTTTTCAGAATATTCGTAGTTCAATTGAAGGAACTCGTCTCATTACATTTGAACAAATTGCGTTGTTTTGGTGTAATAACTACTAAACAGTCAAAAGGAAATATTATATGATTATAGTTGAGAAATTTAGGCTAGCTTGTTTTCATATCCTCGCGATAGTCAATTGATTTTCTAACTATTATAGACAAAAGTTGAAGAACTTAAAAAATATCTTGGTAGAACAGGTTTAATACGATTGAGAATAACGAGTTTTTGTAACTACAAAGAAGAACTATGCATTTTGTCCCACTAAAATATTCAGTGTTTTCTGAAGCAGTATAATGAATCATATTAAATTGTTACACTACTATTTCAAGTTGATGTAGTACAGAAAATTTACAATTCTAAAAAAACAATTTATTCGACTGAATGACGAACATAACGAAGTTATTGTATTATAAAACATGTTCGTTTTTATTTATGACTAGTGATCTTGTCTTATTGCGTGTCGTGTATAGAGAAATGTGTAGTATAGAGAATACGAGAAAAAAAAACTTATTCCAAGTGCAACTAAAGATTAAAGTTAAATATTCTATTGTATTAAGCGAACTACCTTATAAATTATATCAATGAGAATATAATTCAAAAACGAGTATAGAAGAATTTTTTTAGACTTGGTATGAATGAATTCTGGAATAGTTTTCTCTAGATCGGAATCAAAAGGACTTGATTTCGCACATCTTTAGTTGTAAATATACATTTTTCTTTTGAATCATTTTCAATTTATTGTATCGTCAAGATTCAGGAAGAAATTTCACGAGACTTATTTTTATTTAATAAAGTTTTCAGTCTTACCGTCATGCGTTGCTGTAGGGCATGAAAATTTGTTGTCCTTACTGTCGTCAAAACAAGTCCAATTTCTCAACTCTGCCGATATATAATTTACTTTATGAGTGATGAAATCACAGTAGAACATTTTATAATAAACAAAATATATATCGTTAGAATATTCTATTGAATATCTTAACGCTTCGCTCTTGATATTCGATGTAACAATCTTAAGGCAACTATGAAAATACCATGATTTTATAACCATTGATTATTTCTTCTTTAAAATACCTAAGAAAAGAAAAATACGGAGAGTAGATATAAAGTAGATTATTTTTTTTTCTTCTATTCTCGCCGTAGACTTATAACAAAATGTCATAAAAATACAGAATAAAGATAAATGTATATGAGAGTCTTTTTCTTGTTTCGGCAAGTGGGTGCGTGTACTCTCTTATTAGTTGATTATTACTAATAATATACTTTTGTGCTGTTATTATTATTATTATTATTATTATTATTCTCCTTTTTGATTAAGTAAATGTACCTTATAAAGATAGTTTTGATAATAATATTTATCTATTAGATTATTATTATTCATTTTTTTAAAAAGATTATGAACTAAAATAGTTAATAAATTTGATTTATTCTTTCTATTTTTATTTATAGTTTACCACCAGAAGTTGTACGTCGTGTAAATGCACTTCGAAATATTCAAGTTGAACATCATAAAATTGAAGCAAGTTTTTTTGAAGAAGTTCATGCACTTGAATGTCGATATTTAAGCAAATATCAACCACTTTATGCAAAAGTAGATATTTTTTTAAATTTTACTTTGATATTTAATTGTTTTTTTTCCTCTTTATGTATTATTTTTAGCGTTTGAATATTGTTAAAGGAATATATGAACCAACAGATGTTGAAGCTAAATGTGCATTTGATGAGGATGAAGTATGAACAATTACTTTTGAGATAAATAATCCTTTGATATTGTTAATTTATAGAATGATGAAGAAGCTAAGAAAGCAGAAACTGGAGAAAAAACCGACGAACAGAAAAAAGACGAAGGTATGATGACAGGCTAATCTTAATGATTGATAAAAGTTGTTTTAGGGTTTAAAGTTTCATAGAAAGATAAACCACAAGAAAAAGAAAGGAAAACGTCGATATTTATTTCTCATAACCTTGAGTGCATAACAATGTCATTTAGTATCAAGGACTGTGCTAGTTTTTGTTTTTCATATATCCTTTGATACATTGATATAAGATAGCCAGTCATTTTTTATTATTTGGTATTTCTTTTTTAAATAGAATCATTTCTATTTGCAAGATAATATTATTTCAATTAGTATATTTTCTTAGAACCTCTAGTTGTTGGTTATTTATATGAACAAAAAACTGTTCTATTTGAGATATGAATATGTGTAGAAAAGTTGTTTGAATATATTATGAAAATGTTTCAATAAGAGAAAAATAATTAAGAAAAAAACAACGACATAAATAATGCAAGATAACGTTGCCTATCCATATTGAGATATTTTATAACATGTATTTCTATGTTCTGGAAAATTATTGTTTAGCTATATCTGATGATTCAGAAGAAGGCTGGTTAATCATTCGTAAAGAATAAACAAAAATATGATGAATATTAAAACAAAGTTACGAATAATTATTTATTGATGATTTTGAATTTTCACTGAAATGTTCAAGTTTTATTTTTATTATTTATAGAAAATATTATCTATTTGTTAAACATGAAAAATGTATTGAATTTATTTAGTCCTATGAATCCTAGAAGCCACCCATGAAGAACATCGAACCTTCACCCTTTTCCCTGGACACAGATTTTTAAAAATATTGTTCCACAGAATACTTTTAAAAAAAAAAGCGAACGAAACCTTCGAACGTTCTTATGTTTTTGACTCTCGTTATGACATGACATCTATATCAATATAAATCTTCATGTTTTCTAGTTCTGTCATGCCGACCCTCTTTATTCTTGTATTTTTTTCCCTTTGATAATATATGTGTTGTCATATAAATCTAGGCGATTTTGATTTAAAACAAATAAAAAAAAAACATTATGTTCTTTTTAAAACAAGCTCTTATTTGTCCTTGAAATAAAGATACGAAAAGTAGAACAATACAGCTCTTCTCTCTAAAGCTCGTTACACGTTATCTCCTTTCCTTCTGTACGATTTTAGTTGACCTTGTTCTTTTTCCGGATGTCATTTATTTACTAACCCCTATCCAGATCTACAGAATCTATCTGTGTATGCCCACACGTCTAGAGAATAATTTTCTAAGTTTTGAAAAATGACTGTCTACATGAAAATCTTTGAAAGTAGAAAATCAGCCAATAGCGCTTTTCTTTCGCAGCAATCAGGATATGATGTTTAGATAAATATTGCATAGTTGATTCCTCAGTAGAAAACAATCTAACCGCTTCTTGTTTTATTCCTTTTACCATTCAAGACATCTCCTTTTCGACATGCATATATCTGACATTGCATTTATTCTTTCCTTTGTTATGTGCTCTAAATGTGGGTCGCTTTACGGTATCAGGTCTAGAAGCGTCATTATTTAGACTATCTTTGCTTTATTTTTTCTGATATGCATATATCCATATATATATGTATATAACAAACGATTTGTTACAAGCTACGATGGAACCGTTGAAGGGAAGGTAACAACTTAGAAAACTTTGTTATCCAAATAATTCTCAGTCTTAACTTTTACTTCCATCCTTATCCTGTATTGTTTACCACACTCTCCCCCAGTTAGCAGACGTGTCATAGTAGCTGAAATACTGATAATCAATGGAGAAATTAGGTTGTGATGTTGGTTCGAGGACTTTAACCTTGCCGAGTTGATCGATGACAGTTTAAGAATTTACTGACTAATATAATATTAAGTGATTTACTATACAATCATAGATTTTTAATTTATAAGTCAGTTTTTGAACTATTTATGGAATTTTATACGAGTAGACTGTTTCAAATAATGGTTATTATTTCTTGGAAAATAAAACACGCTATATTCCTTTGATTTAAAATGTTATTCGTTAATCGAATCAACTGAAATACTACAAGAAGATCCAACAAGTTGTTTTTGTTGATTTGGATGTTTGGAATTCTTCCATAAAAAATTTGGAACAATCTTGTTGAAAGTTCCAGAACGATCTGGTAGGTTGTGGTTGGATATAAATAACTCACCCTTTTCATTCTGTGTAGGACATGAAATGTTTGATAGTGCCCAAACAAAGTAAGTGTTAAGAGGAAACATTGGATGCTTTGATGCATTATCCTTCTGGACTGTATTGAATGTTTTCATAACAGTACTATATTTTCAAGGACGCTAATGCACGTAACCTTTTAAATATTAACAGCATTGTTCTAAACATTCTATTCATAGCCCGTTACATGAGCTTGGAAATTGAAAATACACAGCTTTTTAGTGAGCTACTAAATATAATAGTGCTTGAAGAATTCTAAAAGCACTAGTAATCGATTCATCAAGGTCGAAAACCCTAGAAACATACGCTTTACATAATACTTGTATTATCATGCAGGAGTCCGTTTATTGCACGTGTTTATCATGTATTGTACATGCAACACAAGAAGGGTCTCGAGTTGCCTCCAGTTTCTTTATATATTTTTTGAACAAAAACTATACATTACTAACCATGTTTACTATATGATAATGAGTAGAAAATGGTTACATCTCAATGTCGTTTGTAAGCGATGTAATTGAATCGTGTCATCATAGACACATAATTTAGAGTATTTGACAAATTTGCCATGTCTAGCGTATGTAAAGAAACTCGCTTGCATTCTACCAGCAGTCTGAAAGTGATCTAATTATAACTGAATAATAACTATATCTATTCTTTGTGTTCATTCTTGAATATATTATGTCTTAAAATTTAGTACGAACGTAATGAAGATAATGTCAATGGAGGGCTCAAATAAGTCATTTAATATCAAATGAAGACCATCGTTAGACGTCATTAGTTTCAAGAAAAACTTGTGTTCAGATTAAAACAGGAATTTAGATTTTAGCCTGTTTTTTCCGAATATCTGCCTAATGTGTTCACCACGATTTGAGGCAATTAGCGCTATTTTATCAGAAAAGTGAATAATAACTCATATGAGAACTTTTAAATTTTGGTTCAGTTGTGATAAGTCGTTTCTGAAAAAAACTAAATGCCAAAACTGACTATCAATATTATTCGATAATGGATGAAACTTATTTATATATGACTTTGACGGTAGGGAAAAATTTTGAAGAATTTCTCTTCATTGGGGAAAATTTTTCATTTTAACGGCAGATTCAGCATCTACCTGAACGAATAAACTTATTAACAAGAAAAACGAATAATCACAGTTTTATTTCTTTTTATTATTGTCTTTAGAAAAAGCCGTCGGTATTCCAGAATTTTGGTTACAAGTATTCAAAAATTCAGATGTTCTCTCAGAACTCATAAAAGTACTTGAAAGAAAATATTATTCGAATGAATTTAAAATTCGTATTTTTTTTTCTAATTTAGGATCAAGATGAACCTGTTTTAAAACATCTTATTGATGTACGTATAACAATGCAAGATGAACCACAACAAAAAGGTTTTACAATTGAATTTGAATTTACATCAAATGAATATTTTTCAAATACCACATTAACGAAATCTTATGAACTTCGTACGGGACCCGATGAACATGAACCATTATCATATGAAGGACCAGAAATCGTTAAATCAAAAGGTTGTGAAATTCATTGGAGTAAAGGAAAAAATGTAACTGTTAAAATGGTTAAAAAACGACAAAAACATAAAAATCGTGGTACAATTCGTGTTGTTACTAAAGAAGTACAAACTGATTCATTTTTTAACTTTTTTACACCACCAACTGGTATATTTTATAATAAAGTTTTTTCTTTTATAAAATCAAAATATTTTATTCATCTTAGTACCTGAAGAAGCTGATGCTGAACTTGAAGATAATGATGAAATGCGTATGTTAGCAGCTGATTTTGAAATTGGTCATATGCTTCGAGATTCAATTGTACCTAAAGCTGTACTTTACTATACAGGTGAAGCTGGAGATGACGAAGATGGAGATGTAAGAAAAATAATTAATTTAACAAAATACTTAGAAAAATATTTAATATCTTTATTTTTAGTATGATGAAGATGATGAAGATGAAGACGAAGGTAAGAAATGTCGAGAAAATAAATGCAAAATAAAAACTAATAGATTTTCTGAAACACGATCTAAGAGGAGAGTTGAAGTATAGGTATGAAAATTTGAACGTCTTCATACACTACAACAAACATAGATATGCGATCACAGACTGTACATCAATAACGTCTCGTTTTAATATATAAACTATTTGCTTCTCGCATTGCTGGAGGATAAATGATACCGCTGCTCGTTTTGACTGTTTCTGTTCTTAAAGACAATAAAACCGATCAAGCTGGAATTTTCTTTACTATAGATACTTGGAAGTATTCTGCAGAGATTAAATCAGCTGCTTTCTTTTTGACTTCTTCACTCGGATTTATATTTGGAAAAGCTTAAACCCGGATAAACCTTGATAGGAGTCGTAATGTACCAGGATGTGATCCTATGGAAACTAGGGCTTCCAAAAAAAAATCACAAAATTTCACTTCAAAATTATTTTGGCTTCAAACACATGTGATCGTTATTTTTGCTGCTTGTTCTGTAGTAAAAATTTCAGCTTGATCGGTTGTACTGTCTTTAAGAGTCAGAAATGATCAAAAAAGAGGGTGGCGCACCTATAAGTAGAAGGACAATGAAGACATGTGTTCCAAAATAGATAACATAAAGCAATCTGTTTGTGATTAGCAGCATGAGTTTAATTGTATTTGACATTTTATTTCCACAGAGATTGAACTAATAGCTTTTTTGTTTGTTTTATTTTAGATGATGATGATGATGAAGAACCAGAAGAAGATGAAGATGAGGGTAAATAGGAAAATTTTCTTTTTTTTAGAATATTAATGTATTTTATTTAGGTCACGGACATCATCATCATGCAGGTGGTCGAGGTGGACATCATCATGGTGGTGGTAAACACGGTTCATCAGGTGGTCCTAGTGGTGTGAGTATATGCTTTTATTTTTGTTTTTATAAATTTTTCATAAATGAAATAACGTATTTTTTTGTTTTCAAAAATAGAAATCTCGAGGCGGTAAACAAGGTTCAGCTGCTGGTGCCAATGGTGCAGGACAACAACCTGAATGCAAACAGCAATAAACAATAAAAGAACAAATAAAAAAAAACAAGAAAGAAAAAAAATGAAAGCAAATTAATGATGATTTGCCTATTTTTTTTTCTCTTCTTTTACAGATGCTACATTTTCTCGTTCTTTTCTTTTTTTTCCAGAAAGTCGTTTATTGTTGTTCTTGTTCATGTTGTTATACCTTCGAAATTTACTTTCATTTATACACAGGCATTAGAAAAAATCAACATGTGGAGAAAAAACACATTAAAAAGATGTTAAGAAAAAATAGAAAACGAACAAAAATTAATTTATCTATTGTATATGTTTTTTTTTTGGTGGTAAATGTGATAATTTGTTCCATCCTGCACGGTAAAGAAAAGACAGGAACTATACAAAAGAGAAGAGAAAAAAAATTGCCTCGTCATGATTCTCTTTCTTTTTTTTGATTACCTATATGTTAGCACACGCCATTGCTTTCTTTTTTTTCAACATTGCACTTTACCTTGTGAAAAAAAGACGCATCATTCTGCTTTTTGACCTTGCTCTCACTATATGATTAGAAGCATGGCTTGAAGATAAAACACTATCTTTTTTCGTTTCTCTATTTCTTTTACGTAACAAATCTCGTAAAATACAGGAAATAGCGTAATATTTGATTCATTAATTTTAGATTCGATTTATAATGAAAAGGCTTTCACGCTTGCATTCTTCAATAATATTATCGTTAACAAAAATAGTTTTCTAAACTCTAAATCAAATAATCAATTAAACGAGTAAGGATGGCAACAAGTGATGATTACGAAAGTCTTCCAGAATCAGTGCATCCAGCTATACATATGACTGCTGGAGCATTAGCTGGTATTGGTGAACATTGTGTCATGTATCCCGTTGATGTTGTTAAAGTATATTTAATAATTTTTTTCTTTTAGTTATAATAATCTTAAAAATTTCTTTATATTCTAATAGACTCGAATGCAGTGTATGAATCCTGATCCGCATGCAAAATATCGAGGGATCTCACATGCTATACGAGAAATGATGGCTAACGAAGGCATATTCAGACCTGTCGGTGAATTTTTTTCTTTCTTTCATTACATATAGATTAAACTATATATTGTTGTTTCATCTAGGTTCGTGGTGTGCATGTTGTAGCTTTAGCAGCTGGACCAGCTCATGCACTTTATTTTTCTTGTTATGAAAGAATGAAAATATTATTAAGTGGACATAAGCAAGCTGGTCATAGTCCCATTGCTAATGGAATAGCTGGTTGTTTTGCTACTTTACTTCATGATGCTTTGATGGTACCTGCTGATGGTAAAAATAATATAAAAAAAAATATATATATATATATATACATTTTTTAATTAATAAATTAAAATTTAATCTATTATATTTTAGCAATTAAACAACGTCTTCAAATATATGCATCTCCATATTCTGGTGCGATAGATTGTATACGTAAAATTCGTCAACGTGAAGGTCTATCTGTACTCTATAGAAGTTATACAACTCAATTAACAATGAATATTCCATTTCATTCAGTACATCTTATTGCTTATGAATTATTTCAAGATGAATTAAATTATGCACGAACATATGATCCATTATCACATGTTATATCAGGTGCTGGAGCTGGTGCTATAGCTGCAGCCATAACAACACCATTAGATGTTTGTAAAACATTATTAAATACACAAGAATGTTGTTTAGCATCAACTGGTGGTCCAACATGTTCAATGCCAAGAAACCCAAATGTAACACCAACAACAAATGGAAATACAATATTAGCAACTGCAGAAGCAAGAGGACTTATAAGCGCTGTTCGTTTGATATATATTCAAGGTGGTCTAGCTGCTTTTTTTAAAGGTCTAACACCACGTATCCTTTATCAAATGCCAAGTACAGCTGTTGCTTGGTCTTGTTATGAATTTGTTGTAAGAAACATTGAAATTAATCGACGAAAAAAAGAAACACAAAAATATTTTTTCTTTTTGTTTTAGAAACACTTTTTTGCCGGAAAACCAACAATATTATGACCTGTCTGACTTTTTATAAGAAGGTCAGTGATATAATCACGTTATAATTGTTTTTTTGCTTTTTACATCATATTATATAACTAACAAGACAATTGTCCTCTTTTTTTTTATCGTCTCTCTTTATATGTTATATTAATAACAGTTTATGTATTTTGATTTTGATTTTGTTTTCATTGTATTTCATCACATTTCTTGTTTTTCTGCTATTGTTATCAAGTACATAAGCAAAGCATATAAAACCCTCAGGGACGAAATCATAAGAATTATTTTGTATATTTAATATTATTTGTTTAAAACAAAAATTAAACGCAGTTGAAAGGTATTCGAATACCTTATTTGACAAGATGATCATCATTCATGTGAAAAGTGATTTATATCAATTTGTAGAGTAATTCGTGGCGTATGGAATGATATTTAAGAAATTGTATTTTCACGTTCTAACAAGCCATGTTTCATTGAGGATATTATAACAATTGTGAATGATATGACTGAATATAATATTTTATGTATAATTGATCCAATCGTGTGTATCTAATAATTTTCACAAAAGCTTTTTTGGTGTTCAAAACCTAATGATTTTTCTTAGATTCTATAATTTTTAGTGTTTATGATGTTTTAAATTTGATACTACTCCTCAGGGCAAAGGCGACCAATTATACAACTTTCTCATAAATTGTGTGTCACCATGCTCTGTACGTATACAAATTTATTGTCTTCGAAATTGAAGTTTGTCATAGTCAAATTGGTTAATAAATGGTTAATTATTCGATTTCTACGAACAGGAAATGTAAATTGATTATGGGATAAATATTTTTTTTTAATGAAAACATTTCTATCTACTTAGCGCTGATGTAAGTACGGGAATGGACTATAACAAAATTGAGTAGTTATTTTATTTCGTTTCTTACGAATTTGGGCTCTCAGTAACCGAGAGTGAGGCTATACAGAGCTCTGTTAGATTCAATATATGTTCGATCTCTTATGAGAGTTAAAAGTTTTGCATACCATCTTACCTCCTCCAGGGATCTACCAGCAAATAATTTTTTTTTGCTATTTTCGAAAGATTTGCACATGTCATATGATAGGGCATGATAAGCCTATCATCAATAGATAGAAACGTTTTCATTATAAAAATATTTATCGCATAACTGATATACTCTTCTGTCCATAGAAATTGAATAATTAACCATTCATTAACCAATTTGACTGTGATAAACTTCAATTCAGAAGGCAATGAATTCGTATACTTATAGAGCTTGGTGACACACAATTTATGAGAAAGTTGCATGATTGGTCGTCTTTGCCCTGAGAAACAGTATTGAAGAATTTACAACATAATAAAAACTAAAAATTACAGAAATTAAGAAAATTGCTAAAGTTTTCGCTACCAACAAAGCTATTGTAATAATTAATAGATATACACGAATGAATCACTTTTAAACAAAATTTTATATTTGACCATATTCCACACAATTACTATGATGTCCCTTAACTGATCAGAACGTGAGGACTAGATGAAAATGCAACATTCTATAAACTATTCGATACACTAGTCGTTACTCTAAAAACTGATAATAATTACTTGTCAAATAACAGATCGTCATCTTATCCAACAGTGTTCTTTCAAGTGGGTCGATTAAAAGAAATTTTCTATTGAATTAAATTGTATTGATTTGATATAAATGATTATAATGTGTTTTTTTTTTCTTCATCTCTTAGGAATTATTCCTCTAAGTAACAACAATGATGTCACTAATCAAGCCCCATTCCATGATTGTTGTTCACAAAAAACAAGAAAATTATTTGTTCAACTTGTTATCATTGTTGTCACATCAAATGACTTATATTCATCATCATTAATTTTCTACTGTGTATGTCTATCTTTTTTTTTGTTTTGATTCCTATTATATTTCCTTTGTCTTTCTTTTTCTGAAATTCTTTTTCATTGTTATACCTTTATTTGTTTTGCTAGGAAAAAAAAATACAACAATAGGATATATGTTATTAATTTATTTTATATCAGTTAATCGTTTTTTTTTCGTTTTTGATAAAATCGTAGACTAGAAGTGTTTTTTGCAATGGATAATTCATCATATCACGAAATATTCGGTTTTCTTCAAGAGTTCTTTGAATATGATTGTATAATTCTATTTGTGATTTAAAATTGAGCACAGCATGAATACCATAACGACGGATGAGAATAGGTATACTTGCAAAGAGATTACTATTTTCCAATTCAATCTATATCAAGTAAAAGAAATAATGAAAGACTTGTGAGCAATTTATATAAACTGATTGGTTTAATAAAATAATTATTCTATTGGAATTTTATATCAATTTAAGTAATTTAAATATGATCGATTACGTTCGATTTTATACGAATTTTAAATATAAAGAATTTAGATAGAAAACACAATAACAATTGGATAATGAACTTTCCTACAGCTAATTTATGCATGGTAGATGTATGCTAAGTTACTCTAGATATTTCGAAAACAAATCAGCGCTAGAGACCTTTGTTCAGAGAAGTTATTAGCAAAAATCGAATCTCTAGATGATAGTACGACAAAAACTTTTCGAAATTTGATAGGATTTCTACAAAACCAGTTTTTTTTAGAGGAATTTGGTTTTTGAATCCGATCTTATTAAAAGTTTCATCATAGATGCAGTTCATATCGTACGATCTCTCCTGAAGTTGTGGGATTTTTCTTGCGCATATATTTAGAGAGATATTTGCTAATTAATTCTTAATTAGAAGTCAGCTGAAAAAGCCAACATTGTTTTATATGTCTGTGTTATAAGTATTTATTCAGAAAATAACCTTTGTAAAGAATTAAAATTAAATAAATGATGCGTATGTCTCATTTTGCATGAAATTGCCCTTATACAACTCGTGCTCAAGTTTTTAGATTTTATTTTCCAGGGAGAACTTTTCTTTATCGAAATTCCTGTTCACAATAGAAGATCTCGTGTAATTTCCTTTGCTGTACTCTTTATTTTTGGTTTTCGTTAGATTTATTACTTGGTTTGTGAGTTGCTGTTTGAGAAATGGTTCGATATAAGTTGATAAAATAAGCATTTCTTGTGAATTACTCATAATAGAACGAACGACTTGACATAAATTCATGCCTAAAGTATAGTCACATGAACGATGATATAATATTTGTAGACAATGCCACCCATTCACGTGTTTAATAAGTTGATCGTGAATTGATTGAAAGAGATTTTGTTGTGATTCAATAATATTTACAAAATTGTTAGAGATGCCTGATTCAATTTGTTGATAATGTTTTACTTGTTTGGTGATTTTATGATTGTTTTTAATCGATTGAAGAAATGTACTCGAGCGAATCCATTGTTGAATTCGAGTAGATGTTTTTTCATTCATGTGCAAAGTAGAGTCATGTTTTTTTGGATGATGAGAAATAATTTTTCTTTGATTGATAGTTTGCTTTAGAAACTTTTTCGTGTTTGATTTTGGCAAGGTCTTGATTGAAGATCTATATAAAAGATATCTAATCACTCACTAACCAGTGACATTCTGCAACTACTTCTTCCCAATTTCAATGAATCTATCGACTATCAATACTATCTAGTGTTCTAATAAATAATTTAGAAATAAGTTAGATGTTGCTTGAGATTTGACTAAGCTATCGAATTTTTCATGTGTCTATTTTCTAGAAGGTTCAGATTTTCGAATTTCGATTTGAAATATGAAAATTCTTTTTAAAGTTTTTATTAAAAAGCTATGCAGTGTCTACAAGGAAAAAATTATTGAAACCGAAAGGAAATAGTTGAAAAAGTTTTCTCATATGAAAAAGAAAAATAGTATTAAATACTTAGGTTTGTTCACTATTGCATCATTCTTAATTATATTTAATTTTATTGGTTGATATTTATTTTGTGGTGCATTATTACTCATTGGTTGATTGATAAAATTTTCTTCTATTTCTCTGTTATTATCTTTAGCCAACTTTAGACTTTGACCATTTATAGTAATACTAGGCCAATATGGTTCTATTGATTTATCAGGATTTTCCAATGTAAAACCAGTTATATTTTTACTTGGTATATCGAGTAATTCGCTAATAGCATAACGTAATCGATGGTTGTAGATATCTGAACTCAATCCACATACTTGTCCAGCATGACAATGATTACCGGCTAATGATTTAACAACTAATGCGTTGTAATCATATGGAGAGACGCCTAAAAAAATAAAATAATGACATTAGTCAAATTCGAAAGTACTAATGAGTACAAGACCTAACTATCAAAAAGACAGCATTTGGACTAGTCATAAGAAGACGTAGAACAATTGATGGATTACCATTAAGACTATTGATTAATTCTTGAGCTTTTTGTTTTAATGATAATGTTTCATCATGTTGTTCAATATTTATCTTATTATTGTGCATTTCTGTGATAAGAACAACATCCGATCGGTATGTATATGCAATATCAGATGTATATATAAGATTTACTGAACGAGAAATAGGACAAAGTTGAAAAGCACAAGCAAGCTTTCGTATAAAATAGAAAATAAAAATTTCGATCAAAAGATGAATCATAGTTTTTTTTTTACATACATCGTAAAAGAACATTTTCATCTGTCGATTATAACATTGATCGAATACAACAATTTCATTGACATGTCGCCTTAGAGCCATAGTCAATGCACATATAAATGTAGTTCGATCTGTACCCAAAATTGTTACTTTTGATTGAGGTTTTGTTGGATATGGTGTTAATTGTTTGCTTATTAAAAGAGTTCGTTGTACATTTGAATCAATATTCTTATGTGTAGTCGATGGTAACTGTTCGATATGTTGTGATTGTTTTGTTTGGTTTAAATCTGAATGTAAACGCTGTTCCAATTCATTATGATTCTCATCCATATCATCAATAGTTTTATCAAACATTGTTTAATAATATAAATAAAAAAGAAAATAGATAATTATTTATTATGTTTCCCTAGCAATTTTGTATAATATCTCGTTTACAATGAGCGGGATATGTATTATACATATATGAAAAAAAAACTACGTAGAAAAAATAGAAAAGTTAAAATTTTTTTTTTTTGTTAATTTACAAATAACTATATTAATAACATTTTAGTATTTCTTATGTTAAATTCAAGTCAATAATTCTATTGATTAATTGTCATAATAAATATAATCATCATCATCATTATTATTATTATTATTATTATCATTTTGATCTATACTTGATTTTTCTCTTGGATTTCGTTTATAGATTTTAATTTCTTGAATAAAATTATAATTTGAATATTGTTGTTGTGATTCATCATTTTCTTTATTTAAATCTATAACAGTATTATATGGTGTTGTTGGTGGATCATTTGGCATTGGTCGTTGTAATGTTTGATCTAAATGATCCCATACATCAAATTTATCCCATTGATTTGATTTTAAATAAGTTTTGTGATTATTCATTACACATGATGGACGAGTACATATTTTATGTGTACTTGATGATGTACCTCGAGTCAATGATTGTAAACTAGGTTGACTTGAAGAAATAGTTAGTGTACTTGTATCATAATCATAATTTGTATCTTCATCAATATTTATAGATTGTTTATCACGAATATGTCGAGTATCAGATTTAGTACTGATACGTGTTGTTATTGGAGCTGATGATGAAAAAACAGCAAGACCATGAAATGATGATTTATTTTTAATTTGATGTATTTCACGATTTTTATCCGAATTTACATGATGAGCACGTTGTTCATGATCAAATGTTGCAAGAGAATGAGTAGAAGATGTTTTAGATAATGGTTGTTTTGAATGTGGATTTAATGTTAATGGATGAAGATAGATACGACGAGTAAGAACATGTGAAGAACTTGATGATGATGATGATGATGTAGGTGGATGACGAAAGTCTTGAAATGATTGACATAATTCAAGTAATGTTAAAGTTTTTGGTTTCAATGGATAACGTGCTGTTGCAGATGCCATATGTAACTAGAAAAATGAAAAGAACAATAATTTTAGATATCATGTGTGAATCAACAGAAATATTATTCATAATATTTTCTATTGTAAAACTTATTGGTTATCGAACTCATTACTCTCTCGTCTTATGAAATTTCAATCGAGCTATTTTTAAAATCAATAATTCAAATCAAATTAAAAAATTTCTTTTTTTTTTTTTATTTCGATACTATTTTATATGTAAATAATGAAATAAAAACAATTGAGACGATGTCGTTCTTACTTTCGAATTTGAATGTAAATTTTATTAGATATATGCACAAAAAACATGCAACAAAAAAAAATAATATTATTAATGATCAAGACATGATTGTCAAAAGAAATTTATTGAATGTTGATTATTTGTCGAGAAAGAAATAATGTTTGAAAATTTCAAGTGTTTGTTTTTTGCTCTAGACATATTCTATACAGAATACGAGAAAAAGAAGTTAAAATGAATTTTGTTATTGCATTTATTTGTTGTTTTGCATACATAAAACGTCCCTTGACTTATTTGAATATTCGTAGCTGAATAAATTTTAATTTAATGGAATAAAATATTATTGAAATGATGCCACCCAAAAAAATAAGTAAAATAATAAAACCAATTAGAAAATACACAAAATTTGAAGATGATTTATTTATATTATTAACTCGAATTGGATTCATATGACTTTTACCAAGTTTAACTAAAGCTTTAATCCAATTATTTATTGGTTGAATAGATTTATTTGTTGATAAACATTGACAGGTATTTTCTTTTTTTCGATATGGAAATGAATATTGACAATAATTTCTAAATTCAATCTTTGTTATTTGTTTCGAACATTTATAAAATCTATTTGAATTATATTCTTCAAAATTTTTTCGTGTACAATATGAACAAATAAAACCATTGGGGAAATATTTCTCTTGAATATATGAATAATTATTATATAGAGGTATTAAATATAGATTTGAATTTAAATGAAGTAATGATGGAGTACATTGTGTTATATTAAAAAATGAATATTGTAAAAAACTCGAATCCAAACATAGAATAGCTGTACAAACAAATATATCTGAACATGATAATTGAGAATACCACATAAAAGAAATAAAGAAAGATTTTCTATAAAATGAATTAAGTACTTGATTGAAAACGCGCTTATAAAAGAAAAGGATGTGCTCATATAATAGTTATCCAAGTATATAGAATAGAGATTAACGATCGTATGATGTCGCTTGAGAACGTATTCAATAAAAGGTGTTAATAATCCATTGGCCGATCTTTTCTGTGTAATTTTTAAAATTTTATTTCTTTTTCTCTAGTTTCTAGATTAAAAAACTTAAGCTTTAATTATTTTTTTATCGCATTAAAAAAATTAATAATGCCAAAGTCAAAATCAAAATTAAAAAAGTCAACGATTACATCGACAACACCTGTTGTTAAACTTTCAAAAGAACTTGAATCATCAAAATGTCAATATATATATATATTTTTTTAAAATTTTTATTAAATTCATATGTTTTAGGTAATTGTTCATCTCCTCGGCAGGATTGTTCAACTGAAAAGCTTCAAGTTTTTCAACAATCGAACTCTCAATCATCATCATCTCTTCTTCCTTCTAAATTAAAGTCGAGAAAATCTTCTCGTAAATTATGTTATTCGAATATTCTTTCGGAATTATTTATTATGAATAATAATAATAAGTTAAATGAACAAAAAGGTCAAATTTATTCGACACCAGTTGCTAAATCAATTGTACTTGCAAAACATGAAACATTTGCTAATCAAATATTAAAGACATTTGATAAAATAGATGATTTACCATATTGTTTTACAAAAACTAATCTTCAAACACAAATGAAGTATCGAATGATTTCGTTAATTGCTGATCCATTTTCTGATCAAGTAAGAAGAAAAAAGATGAAGAAGGTGCGTGAAATTATGAACCAAGAGTTCTAAATAATCTACATCTAATTTTATTAGCTTGAGAATCACCATTGAACTCTGGTTATTTTTTACAAGTTTATTTTGTATTTTATCACAAATCATTTTTTCACAGCTAACGTTTTCTTCAGGCAACGACAAACTTTTTTATCATTGTTTTTTTGCAAGTATTTATAGTACGATAGTGCGAAATGCGCTGATTACAAATATCATATTTTTTTCAAAAGTGCTTAGATAATAAGAAAGATCTGAAGCACTGTCTGAAAGTCTTAAAAGTCAAATTTTTGACCTAGAAATTTATTAAAATCCGGTTGAGATTCGTTGAAGGTAGATCCATTTGATAAAGAGCTTCTTAGATATTCAATTTTTTTTCTATTCATAAATGTCAAATGCCGTCCTTAGTAGGTCATTTAGTTACTAATCATGTTTTTTTTGTCGAATATGTAATTCATAGTTATTTTATGTCTTTTTTGATTAATACTCGATGGTTTTCTAGAAAAAGAAACTTCATTTGACTTCAAACAAATCTCATATTTGAAATCAGAACAAAAAGAACTGAATCGACTTATACATGTTTCAAATTGTTTCTGTGATCTTTTTTTTCCGTCGAATTTGCATCCCTCGCCCCCCCCCCCCGGTCTTCCCTCAGGAGTGTATGGAAAAATAAACTTCATCAAAAATACCGTTTTGGCAGCGAAAACGAAGTTTCAGACTTGTAAAATGCTATTTTTTAACAATAGCAAAGATCTCTAGATGTTTAAGTAGTGTTTTTGATGAAATTTGTTTTTCCATATATCTCTGAGGGAGACCAGAGATGAAAATTTGACCGACAAAAAAAGTCACATAAACAATTCGAAACACACATAAGTTGGCTAGATTTTTGTTCTGATTTGAAGTTTCACATTTGTTTAAAGTCAAACGAAACATCTTCTCGAAAACCGTCGAATATTCGTCAAGAAAAAACACTAATCAACTCTCAACCATAGTGTTTAGAGTAAAAGTACTTCACTAAACATCGAATTTCAAGTTGAAAATATGTTATTAGAAAAGACACACTGAATTACATATTCAATAAAACAATCGTATTGGTATACGCGTAGAAACTATAAGTTCATAAGACTGAAAAAACAATTATTAATAATAATATGGCCCAGCTGGGATGATATTCGGTATTCATTGATAGAAAAAGATTTGAATATTTAAGAAGTTCCTATAGATTCTGATAGAGAACGATATTCTGTGTCAAATAGGCTTATTTTCAGCAAATCTAAATCGCAATTGTAATAAGCATCTAGGTCAAAAACTGTTTTTTAAGGCTTTCAGAGAGTGCTTTAGATCTTTCTTATTATCTGAGTACTTTTGAAAAAAAATATAATACTTAGCACTATCGAACTATAAAGTCTTCTAACAGAATGGTGATAAAAATCTTTTTCCATATCTGAGACTGTCAAGCTAATAAAATTAGGTTCCGATTCTTTGAGACGCTTGGTCCGTAATTTGAGACACGTTGTTTAACAAAAAAAAAATTTCTTTATTTTTTTTTTTTTATTAGATGGATCGTATGGAAGCATCAAGACAATTAAAAATTAATCTTCTTCGTATTAATCATATTCATTTAAATAGTCGTTTACCGGTAAAAATAATTTCTACACCTATATGGACTCGTTATACTGTACATGTTGTTGTACAAGATGAAAATACACATTGTCTTCGTTTATCAATTTATAATTGGTCATATTTTATGAATACACGACAAATAAAATCCTATAGTTATGTTCAAGAATGTTTAATACGTCTATTACCAATAAATTCATGTGTTGTTATATTAGATCCATGGTTAAAAATGTGTCATGATGGTGAAATAGGATTACGTTGTGAATCACCAAATACACATTTATTGATGATTGATTTTGAAACACGTTGTTCAACAAGTAGTCGAATAAATTTTGATCAATTACGTCAATGGGGTAATACATGTTATCAAGCTGATGATAATCTTGGTGCTATTCAATTTTATACATATGGTTTAAGGCAAATTGATGAACAACAAGAAAAAGAATTAGCATCTAAAGGAAAATCAAGTATGAGTAGATTTATTTTTATTTTTGGAAATAAAAAAAAAAGTATACGAACTATAACAGGTACAATGGAACAGACACATTTTTTATTTGACTTTGAGAATAAGTTCTTTTAGCATAGACATATGGGAAAATGTTGACTCTTCCAGCTGATTATTAATTGAAAGCTGTTAGTACAATTCCTGCGGGATTAATATGTGAAACACAATATAGTAGCTGTTGCTAATCACAGAGATATGATTTTATGCTATCTATTTTGAGATATATTTCTTCACTATCCTTTTAATTAGTCCTCCAAAAATCACAATATATGTAACAATACGAATTTTTTTAAACTAAAATGCATAAAGTGAAAGTCAACGTTCTTTTTTGTGTTACGTCGGTAACGGTAGTTTTTTAATGATTATTCTGCTGAATAAAGGTTTCTAGCATTGATATTTTCAGACTATTTAGAATAACTTAATATGCATATAGCATATAAAACTTAAATCTAGAATAGTTCATTATCTCGAAATAAATATGCTTTAATTTTGCAAAGTCATGTCGCTAATGAATAACATGTTCATATGCAGAATGTTCCAAGAGTCTAATGGAAAAAAGAACGTAAATAAATTTTGAATAATTCAAGTGATATCCGTTATCTGTCTTTAATTTGATATCATGTCTTTGAACAAGTTTTTATCTCGAATAATTTCATTTGCATTTCCTATTCAAAATGAACACACTGAACTGAAGCATGATATCCATTGTTTGAAAATATTTCAAAAAAAAAATTCATCATTGCCTAGAATTTTCTGTGAAATCGTTTTATTTTCATTATCCGATTCTTATTATTATTTCAATATGATGTTCAGTAGATATTATTGTCTTTCATATGTCACCATAGAAAAACTTCAAATAATGCTCAGTGATACGAACATAAATCTCATCTGATAGAATCAGTTTTTTATATTTCCTATAATAGAAAAAATGTT